GCCTAAAAAGGAAGTTACAGGCCAGCCTAGGACACAGAAGAGCCTGCTTTTGTTTTTTTCTTTTCTTTTTTTGAGGGGAGGGGGGGGGAGTATTTTGATACAGGGTTTCTCTCCTGTTTTACCTCTGGCTGGCCTAGAACTCACAGAGCTCCACCTGCCTCTGCCTCCTGAGTGCTGGGATTAAATATTTAATGTTATTATAATAAAACAATTCCATTAGGACTATCTATAGGCTAGAAGACTGAGACCATAAACACTTGCTAAAGGGCTGAAGAGATGGGTCAGGGTTAAGAGTGTTTCTTGCTCTTGCAGAGTTTGGTTCCCAATACCCACATCAGGCGTTGGAATGTTCTCTTTTGGTGAGCATGCACACACATAGAGATAGAACAGACAGATAGAATAGGAAAATATTTTAAAAATAAATGAATAAATAAAAAAACCTTGCTGGGCATAGTATCACACACCTTTAATCCTTTGAGAGGGATTTTTAAAAAAGAATGAGAGGCTGAGGCAGGCAGATTTTTGTGAATTCAAGGCCAACCTTGTCTACAGAGGGAGTTCCAAGACAGCCAGGGCTACACAGAGAAACCCTGTTTCTAAAAACGTATGTTAGAAAAAAAAAAAAAAACTGTGTGTGTTTCAGACAGGATTTCTCTGTGTATCCCTGGCTGTTTTGGAACTTGCTCTTTAGACCAGACTGGCTTTGAACTCGGGAGATCCACTTGCCTCTGCCTCCCAACTGCTGGGATTAAAGGCATGAGCCACCATACCCAGTTCAGAATTTGTTTTTTAACATTATTTGTGTGTGAGAGTACGTGCTTGTGTCACAGAGCATGGAGATCAGAGACCGAGGATGGTGGAAATAATTTTCTCTTCCCACTTTGAAGGTGCTGGGGAATCAAACTCAGGTTGTCAGACTTAACGGTAAGAGCCCTTTCCTGATGATTCCTGGTCTCAAAATCTTCTCTCTCTTTTTAAGACAGGGTCTCACGATTTAGTCCTTCCTGAGCTGGGTGGAACTCACTATGTGGACCAAGCTAGCCTTGAACTCTCAGAGATCTATCTGCCTGTCTCTGCATCTCCAATACAGGGATGAAAGGTGTGTGAGTTATCATGCTGGATCAGAACTTGATTTTTATCATACTGTTATGATAAAATAACTCACCAAGCAGCAAGCATGTCCAAGGACAGAAACAGTTCTCAGACTCCAGCCTCTACAATTAAGCCTTTGGTGATATAACCAACTAACCAAACAGCCAATCACAACACATCTCCTTAGAGCTCAAATTCTTTGTTAAATTATATATCCAGCCCTTATATCCCCAGCACTTTTTTAAAAGAAAGGATCTGTTGTTACCCAAATTAGCCTCAAACCTGTGATCCTCCTGCCTCAGCCTTTTGAGTGCTGGAATTACTGATATGCACCATCATCACACCTGGCTCCAAGCCTCAACATTTGAAGGCTCTTTATGCTCTTCTGCTGGGGAGAGGAATGCATGCTTTTCAGATTCCCCTAGTTTTCCTCCCTGCAAACATTACCATCAATGATTTTGGTTCTGGGAAGGACCTGGATCTCTGGAGGATTCCCAAGGGCCAAAGGGAAGTAAAGGTTAGGACTTGTGGGCTACCAAACACCAGCATCCAGTCCCTGTAGTACCCCTGACCCAAAGAGCCAAGGAACCAGGAAATATAGGTTGACTGTGGCAAGGAAACATTCACAAAGAAAAAGAAGAAAGAAGAAACTAGGGGCCACTTTCCAAAATAATCACAGGCTGGTAAGAATGAGCCCCACCACATAGATTTGGGTGAGTTAGAGTAAGAAGGAAAATCAGAGTCAAATCCACAGGGAAGCACATTGATTTTTTCCTACAGAGAACACACTAGACACATATGTAGAATATATCTTGCTTTGTTGTTAGGGGAGAGCAGAGATGAATGCAGGGGCATGTGTACCACATTCCTTGTGCACAGGTCAGATGTGTTGGCCCTCAACTTCCACTTTGTTTCAGAATAGGATGTCTTTGTTTACACAGCTTCATATGCCAGGCTACTATGTGAGCTTCTCAGGATTCTCCTTCTCTGCTTCCCATTTCCCATGGGCTAGGATTATAGACGCTCCTGCTAGATGTCCAGCTTTCATGTGAGTTCTGGGGATTTGAACACATGTTCTCACACTTGCAAAGCAAGCATTTTTACCCACTGAGCCATGTTCCCAGCCCCAACAGAATAGTTCTAAGCACAGGACACTAAAGATACTTTCTTGATTAAAAAGGATTAGAAAATGAGCAATAGAGAGGAGAAAAAAAAACTAAAAAGAACAAGGGAAGGAAAAAGAAATACAAAAAACAGAAAACATAGTTTCAAAATTCAGTGTCAAAGTACTTGTGAAGCCCTGCATGAGGCCATAAATTCCATCCCCAACAATGAGAAAAAAAATTCAGAACATCATTTGTCATTTATTCTCAGGTTAGGCCAATCTAGGTCTGTAGAGACAAACTTCTCAGGAAGAAAGCTACAAGGAATCCATGTATATTGACAGACTTCCTAATTCTGAAACAAAGTTTTTCAGTAGTGTTTGAGTGTAAGATTTCAAAGCAAAGACCTTTAAACACACCTCAACACTTTAAATTTCTTTTTTCTTTTTTGGGTTTTTCCAGATAGGGTCTATGTAGCCTTGGCTGTCCTAGAACTCGATTTGTAGACCAGGCTGGCCTTGAACTCTGCCTTCCAAGTGCTGGAATTTAAGCATGTGCTACCTAATTAGGCTTTAAATTTCACTTTTAAAAAAATATTGCATTGAGGGGCTGGAGAGATGGCTCACTGGTTAAGAGCACTGGCTGCTCTTCCAGGGGACCCAGGTTCAATCCCCAGCACCCAATGGCAGCTCACAGATGTCTTTAACTCCAGTTCCAGGGAACCTGACACCCTCACACAGACATGAATGCAAGCAAAACACCAATGCACATAAAAATAAAGTCACTTAAAATTTTCATCTAAAAAAATATTGCATTAATTAGGACATGGTGGCACACACCTATAATCCCAGCACTCAGTTTCAAGTCAGCCACATCTACATAGTAGTATGATCCTATCCCAAAACAACAATAGATATAAAATATTCTATAATTTCAGCACATGGCTGAGGCAGGAGTAATGATGATATGGCTACAATAAGACATCAAGACCATCCTGGAGCTGGGCACAGTAGTGCATGCCATTAATTCCAGCATTTAGAAGGCAGAGGCAGGCAGATCTCTATGAGTTTTGAGGCCAGCCTGGTCTACATAGTGAGGAGTTTCAGGACAGTCAGGATACAGAAAGACGCCATGCCATGGATGGATGGATGGATGGATGGATGGATGGATAGATGGAGAGAGAGAGAGATAATAAAAGATCCTGGATTAGTTCCAGGCCAGTCTTAGGTTTTTTGTTTGAGACAGGGTTTCTCAGTATAGCCCTGGCATTCGTGGTACTGCATCTGTAGAACAGGCTGGCCTTAAACTCAGAGATCCACCTGCCTCAGCCTCCTAGCAATAAAGACAGTTAAGGGAGAAGGAAGGGAAGGAGTGAGGGCAGGGACCAGTAAACTTCACCATATGGCAGGCCCAATCCATGTGAGTTTGTCCCCTTGCACCGAAGGGACACCTATCCTCCCTTTCCAGGTGTGTTATAAAAAGTAGGCTGTGTCTACCCGGTAGTGGTGGCGGCGAACGCCTTTAATCGCAGCACTTGGGAGGCAGAAACAAGCAGATCTCTTGAGTTTGAGACCAACCTGGTCTGTAAATTGAGTTTTAGGGCAAAACAGAAAATCCCTGTCTCAAAAAAATGAGTCAATCTATGGCCTAGGTCTGAATTTCTTTTCCCTGGTGCTCTGAATCTCTTTCCGACACACACACATTTGTTCTTTGCACTCTACATATGTCCAAATGGTATGTATGCATGTGTACTTCGGGATGGCTTCCCAAAAAGTTTTGCATACTTCCTATGGGGGGAAATAAAAAACAAGCTAAGCAGGCAGTCATACATTTATCATACATTTAATTTTAACTTAGTAAGGATAATGTGATTGAAACTGTCGTATTTGGAATGTTTGCAAAAAAAGAGAACCGGTTCAGCAAAAAAAAAAAAAAAAATTACCAACTAAGTAGTAGCTAAAGATGCACCCAATCATGACTAAAAAATGGGCCAAACTGACTCGGTTCCCACCTCTAAGATTATCCACCCCATTCCTACCGATGAGTTCTTATCAGTGCAGTTCCCACCGGCCACACAGTTCTACACCTGGGTCCCCTAAGGCAGTTCCCACCAACAGTCCACAGTGACGTGGTTCCACCGATGACGACTCCCTGACAATTACGCTCATGGGTCCCCTGTGGATTCTGTTCCGAGCTAAGGGGTGTGTGTGGGGGGGTGTCCACCAATGAAGGGGCCACCGAAGGGTGTGCGCGCCGGTACGAATTCCCTCCCGCCCGTGAGTCGACCCACCCTCCCTCTGGGACCCGATCCACTTGGCGCCCACCGATGGATCCCAAGCGCCGCCACTCCCGCCTACGGCCCACCCCCACCCCCACCGTCCCTTTCCGCCTCGGCATTCACTGACGATCCCGACCCTGCCTCAGGCGAAGCCAAGATGGACGCCGGAAGCACAGCCGCCTTCGCGAGCCCTCTCGCCAGGCGCCCGCGCCCGCCCGTCCGCCCGCCCGCCCGCCCGCCTGCCTGACGCCGCCGCCGCGCCTGACGCCGCCGCCGCCCTCGCGCGCCCGCCGCCCCTCCCCCGGCCTCCCCTCCCCCCCGCCGTAACGTCCTGACGCTCCGCAGGGACCCCTGACTGGACGGCGGCGCGTGAGCGGCGCGAGAAGCTTCGCCGCGGGGGTGCGCGGGCACGCCGAAGCCGCTTACCTGGGGCCCACACCGGCCTGCTCTGGCTCCCGGCTGTGACGGGTGCGGCGGCGGGTGGTGGCGGTGGCGGCCGCAGGCTTCGCTCCTTGTTGGGGATTCGGCGGCGGCGGCGGCGGCGGCGGCGGCGCGGGCGCGCGCTTCCTAGTGACGCAGACACCAAGGCCGCGCACGCACGGGTCGGGCGGGTTTCGGGACTTATTTGGCGCCCAGTGCGGAAGCGGATGGCGTGGTGAGATAGGACCCGAAGGGCCCTGGCGCGCCTGCGTGTGTGGCCTTGCCTCTGTGCCCGGTGGTTAGGTGTCCGCGGCTCAAGCTCTGGTTGTCGCTGTTTGGTTTGTAGTCCGGGTGTGGGCCCCACCAGGGAACCGTATCTCCCAGGTGTGTGCTCTGCAACCCAGCCTCGACCATCGAGTGCGGGCGTTTTTGCCCATTTCGGGCCGAATCGTGTTTTCTTTTTTTGAAATTGAAGGCTTTGCGAATTTGCTTTCTCAACCTGCTCATTGCGGAGCGGTGTTTTCTTGCGGTTGACCAACCGGCCATTGCAGTCCAAACAAGCAGGAACTCGCTAGTAGACTAGGCTGACCTGGAACTTACAGAGATCTGGTTGCCTTCCGAGTTCTGAGGTTAAAGGCATGTGCTATCATGCCTGGCCCATTAATTCTAAAGTTTTAAATGAAAGTTAATAAAAGCTAAGTGTCTCGAGTATCTTGGAGCCATAAAAGTCTCAGAGTGTCTTGGATACTAAAGAATTAATGCTTTTATTTTTTTCTAACTTGGGAAAGGTCTTTTATTTAGGATATCTGGATTTTCCAGAACATAAGCATCCCTCAGCCAACATGTTCATTCAGTTGAGAGCCAAAAACAGCAGTTCTTGTGTGGTTCAAAGGTAGCACAGCGTTAGGCCCTAGTGACCTGAGCTGTGTTTATATCGGCCCTGGTGGAGCCTGGCCACCATGTTAGACATTGTGGTCTCGGCAATAAAACCCTTTCTCCCCCAGCCACTACAGGCTGAGACCGCCAATTCTAAGCACCGGGCCAGCTCGCCTAAACTCTTAGAGTATGGTCTCTAGAGTTCAATCAAAGGTTTCAGGACCCTAGCTCTGCCTGTCCTAGAGTCTTCAGAGAATTGCGCTTTCGTTCTGAAATGATTTTGGTTATAAATGTGATAAATATGCGAGTTTGTCACTTCTGCAATAAATGGAAATGAAATTAAAGGGTAAGGCTGGAGAAGTACAATGGAGATCAAGGCCTGCATGAGCCTTAATGTCTGTAAGTAGGTTTTTGCTGCTACGTGAGTGGAATGAACTGGTGCCCAGTCTGAGCATTTGTTCAGGGGAGCTGAAGAATGGAATAAAAGACTACCACCTTAGTTAAAGGTACACCTAAGTTAAGCTCTCCCTGCAGGATCTAGCAGATGTAAAAATCAGCTTCTCCCACATACTCAGACTAGATTCTAATCACCAGCACCTGAGATCAGACCTGCTTCGGACAACCCTCATCTGAGCAGGTCTGGAGGAAATGAAGGGTGTTATCAGGTGGTATTGAGGCTTGTCTATGACCCACCCTTCCCACCCCCATTTATGTATCAAATCCTAACTCCCTAAGAAAGCAGTAGAAAGTAGGTGCCTTGTCTGAGGCAGGAAGCAGCCCTCTTCAAGTATTAGGCAATGCCTTAATCTTGGACTGCCAGCCTCCAAAACAGGGAGTGATAAATTTGGATCATTTATAAGCCACCTACTGTATGGTTATTTCTGTTGTAGTACCCTCAGTGACCTAAGCCAGTGTTAAATGAGTTCCCAGCAATTAAGGAAATACTCCCCAAACAGTCAGGCCTACCCAGGAAATAGAGTAGTTCGAAAACTCTCCACCTGTCAGAGCTTAATCCATGTTATCACCAACTCATGAATTATAGTGTTGCCCACAGAACAGAAAGGTGTGTAGGTTCAAATACTTCATAAGTAAACGGGAGAAAGGACAGTTCCCCCCCTACAGTGGAGTTTTGATTAATAGGAAATGGAAAAAAAAAAAAAACACCATTACTTTGTGGCAGACAAAATCCACTGGACAGTTTTGAAAATTAATGAATGAGGACTAGAGAGATGGCTCAGTAGTTAAGAATACTGGCTCCTCTCCCAGAGGTCTCAAGTTCAATTCCCAGCACCCACATGGTGGCTCACAACCATCTGTAATGGAATCTGACTCTCCCTTCTGATGTGCATGAAGACAGGTCACTCATATACATAAAATAAATATTATAAAAGAAATTTAATGAAAGTTTGAGGTAAAACAAGTTCTCAAGATATCTCCCTTAAAATACTTTCTATTACTACTGTTTAAAAAAAAAAGTGGAAGCCAGGTGGTGGCTGTGCACACCTTTGATCCCAGCACTTAGGAAGCAGAAGCAAGCAAATCTTAGTGAATTCAAGTCCAGCCTATTCTACAGAGAGAGTTCCAGGACAGCCAAGGCTACACAGAGAAACCCTGTCTCAAAGAACAAACAAGCAAAAATACCCACCTCAAATTTAGTGCCTTAAAAGTACAGCTTAGGTCAGGTATATCACACACCTATAATCCCCACACTTAGGAGTCAGAGGAAGTAAAATTGAGAGGTAAGTGGCAATTTGGGTTCCATAACAAGACCCTGTCTAAAGCAAACACATAACATGAGTTTATTCTCTTACTCCTCTGCAGGCCAGAATTGAAGCCCAACCCAAATTCAATGACCACGTGCTATACAAGACTGGTGCCTTCTAGATGAAGCAAAGGGGAATCATTTCCTGCCTCCCATGGCTTCCAGAGGGACTTGGTTTTTGACCTTACATCTTTAAAGCTAGCTTTCCTGTTTCCCTTACCTGTAGGCTGAGATGAGCTAACCTTGAGTCTGCCTGAGGGCCTAGCAAAAGGCGCTATCGGAGGTCCTGATCATGCCTCGCCAATGAGGGGCCACCAAGCGATATCAATGGATTCGGTTGCCGGCTGGTGCTAGACGGAGGGTATACAAGGCTCTCCCCATTGCTGAATAGATGAGTCTGCTATTTGCTTTTTACATGACTTCTAGTGTCTATGCTATTGACAATATGCATTCTCACTCCCTCCTCTGAGATAGTCATTAGGATCCAGAAGCACCTTACCTACTTTTTTGTTTTTTCAAGACAGGGTTTCTCCGTGTAGCCCTGGCTATCCTGTAACTTGATCTGTAGACTTGAACTTACAGACATCTGCCTGCTTTGCTTCCTGGGTGCTAGGATTAAAGGTGTGAACCACCCATGCCCTGCTTCCTTACCTACTTTTAAAGACCCTTGCAAGTATATTGGGCCCATCTGTATAAAGTCTAAAACCCCCACTTCAAAGACACTGAACTGGGTAGCCAGCCTAGACTATGGAGTGAGTTCCAGGGCAGTCAAAACTGTTAAACCAAGAAGCCCTAGGGGAAACAGTGACCTGGAGTCTTGGTTGGTTTTATGTCATAACCAAACATATTCATTGGTATTCCATGGTTGAAAACATGGGCCTCTTGTGGGGTGATAATTCTACCTTCTCAAAACTTGCAAACCACAAAAGGAAGGATAGTTTTTGTTTTTGTTTTTTGTTTTTTTTTGTTGTTTGTTTGCATGACAGGGTTTTTCTGTGTAAAAGATCTGTCCTGGAACTCATTCTGTAGACCACCCTGGCCTCAAACTCACAGAGACCCACTTATCTCTCTTCCTCCAGAGCACTGGGATTAAAGGCATGCACCACCATGCCCGGTTCAATAAAATACTTTTTTTTTTTTTTTTTTTTGGTTTTTTGAGACAGGGTTTCTCTGTAGCTTTGGAGGCTGTCCTGGAACTCACTTTGTAGACCAGGCTGGCCTCGAACTCACAGAGATCCACCTGCCTCTGCCTCCTGAGTGCTGGGATTAAAGGCGTGCACCACCAACACCCGGCGAATAAAATACTTTTTAAAAATTAAATATAGTGATGAGTGAAGTGATCTTAAAACAATGTTCACTCCTTCATGAATCGTCCCTTGCAGAGCCACTTCTACCCTTGACTGGCTTCTAAATTTTGAAGAAATCCTGCATCTGATGATTGAAATGTTAACTGCCAAATAATCTTTCTGTAGACTTAACAAAACTCAGCACATCTGGTGAACATTAGGGTATATAGGAATGTGTAAGTTAGTGCTTAACTTACAGAAAGGTAATGTGTTTGTCTAAAGAAACTGGGCTCGGGAGATGTAGTTTAGGTCGACTATGATATTCTAGCCAAAGTAATAAAAAGAAAGGGGAAAAGAAGACACACAATGGATGAAGAATACAGCCTTTCTGCCCAGTGTCCAATCATACTTCCTTTCCTTCTCTGTAATAGCACCTCCATCCACTTGAGTCCTTCAGGGTGATCTCTTGAGGGAATGATGATAACACCCTCTTCCAACTTCTTGGGGGTACCAGTCTTTGAATGGTTTCCTTCTTACTCGTCTCTCTTCCTGAATATTTTGGCTTTTAAATGGCAAGCAAACAGACTTTGTTCCAGTAACAGTCCGTTGAAGACAACAACCATTTCTGTGGTTCTGTTACCAAGAATGTCTAACCCTGATCCATCTTAGAAAACATCAAACAGACTCAGACTGATGAAATCAGCAATATAACCGATTGATGCTCTTTAAAGACATACCAGGTCATAAAAGACAAAATGAGGTGTGATAGTTGTGTAGCTTGGTCTGTTAGTGAGGTTCCTAGTAGTGGGATTCAGACCTGTGCCTCGCACTTGAGCTGGCTTTTGGGAATTCAATCCCAAAATGGGTTGCCTTGCCCAACCTTGATGCAGGGGGAGGAGCTTGGTCCTGACTCAACTTGATGTGCCATGCTGTGTTGATTCCCATAGGAGGCCTCTCCTTTCTGTTTTTTTTTTGGTTTTTTTTTTTTGGTTTTTTTTTTTGGTTTTTCGAGACAGGGTTTCTCTGTGGCTTTGGAGGCTGTCCTGGAACTCGCTCGGTAGTCCAGGCTGGTCTCGAACTCCCAGCCTCCCGAGTGCTGGGATTAAAGGCGTGCACCACCAACACCTGGCAGCCTCTCCTTTCTGAGTGAATGGGAGAGAGGGTCGAGAAGGGAGGGCAGAGTAGAGAATGGGGAGAGAGGAGGAAGAGGAAACTGGTCTGAGGAGGGAAGTCCTTCTTTGTATATGCTTGTCTGATTGGTTGATAAATAAAGCACTGTTGGCTAATAGGAAAGCAAGATAAATCGAGGAGGATTCTGGGAAATGTAGTCAAGAGTGAAGAGTCGCCATGTGATCCCTGGAAGAGAGGGCACATGAGGCTGTGTCCCTCGGTAAGATATAAGACCTTATAAAAATATATATTAGTAATTATGGGTTAATAATTAAGTCAGAACTAGCCATTAAGAAACTATAGCAAATGGCCAACATCTTCATAATTAATATACTGTCCTGTGTGTACATTTGGGACTGGTGTGACTCTGGGACCAGGCTAGTGGGAAGAATGCACATTACACTGGTCAGTATGTAAAATTAATAATAAGACGAAATGAGGAGCCAGGCATTGGTGGCACACTCCTTCAACCCCAGCACTCAGGAGGTAGAGGCAGGCAGATCTCTGTGAGTTCAAGGCCAGCCTGGTCTACCGAACGAGTTTCAGGACAGCCTCCAAACCAATACAGAGAACCCCTGTCTCGGAAAAAAAAAAAAAAAAAGACAAAATTGGGGAAGGCTTTAGAGATACAGAACCAAAGGCATCAAGAGATTCTTGCATCCGGGCAGTAGTGACTCATGCCATTAGTCCAGCACTCAGGAGACAGAGGCAGGCAGATCTCTGAGTTTGAGGCAGCCTGGTCTACAGATTGAGTTCAGGACAACCATCCAGGGTTACACAGAAACCCTGTTGTTATGTTAAGATACTTGCATTAGGGGAAGCTGGGTAAATGATATGTGGAATCACTGTCCTACTTTTTAAATTATTTTATGTATTTTAGCTTCCAACAAAAAGTTACACTTTTTCTGGTACCTCTGTGTTTGTGCACACACTAACGCCAGGGACTGAACCCCCTACCTCAGGGCATGTTGAACAATTACTTGATCTACCACCAAACTATATCTATGTCACAAAATACATATTTAATGAACATCAGAGCCAGTTGCTCAGGTTTTAGGTAAATAAGATGATAGGAATCCCTGAGAAGGTCAACAAAGAACACAGCTGGGGAGAGGTACAGAAGTAGGAAAGGCTATGGTTGTAAAAAGAAAGTGGAGAGTTAGGAGTTATTCAAAGAAAGCCTTGGAGAATATAAACAATGGGATGAAACAGAAAACCAAATTTAGAACCCAAATCTCCCACTGCTTTACCCGTCTTAGTTAAATAGATGGTTATGTTTCTCCAAGGCCGACACTTGTGTGTTAAGGTGCAAACTGGAAAGCATGCTCCCCCAGAAGACCACGCTCTGACCCAGAAATGAATCCATATACCCCTCTGGGAAGTTTTGGGCTGAAAATACTGCTCTAGACAAGCATAAGATTCAGAGAGACTTAAAGCATGTTCAACTTAATGAGGTCGAGACAACACATATAGCAATTTAAAAAGTCAAGCATTCTAAGAGTAAAATCCAAAGATTCACAAATCTGATACATACTAAGGAGTAGAAAAATATTAAAATCCATCTTCCATAATTAAACCATTATTTTTCTATAAGAGCAAAAAACTTTGTATGTACAATAAAAACAATACAATGCATAGCATACAGTAGCCTCAAATCTAACCAAAGTCTTCCAGGCAGGGTTCATTGCTGTTTTGTGTGACTTAATGGCACACAGTGCAAGTTGTATGTTCAGAATGAAGGCACAAGCAAAACCTCAGGATGTAATATGAAAGAGTATTGCCAGAAACAATTTGGATTCATTAGGCCATTTTTAGTTTGAATTGATTTTGGTCATTACACATTCAGAAACCTTTTGATGTTGCCAAAGAATTTGTGGCCCCCACATATATAACTCCACTATTCACAGTTTAAAAAGCTATATATTAAACCATGATTAAGTCAAGGTCATCATAACGTAATTGTCTCTGGAAATGTCCTCTAGACACCCCAGAGGTGTGTTTTATTGATCTCCTAGATATCTCTCAATCTAATCCAGTTGATGGTAAAGATTAACTGTCGCGTGGCTCTGTGGCACAATGGATAGCGCATTGGACTTCTAGTGATGAAAAAGATTAACTGTCATGAGCTGTCATGATGCTAGTGAAGATGCTTCCTGAGTTTGGTCACCAAGTCCATATGATGGAAGAGAACTGACTCCAATAAGCTGTCTTCTCACCTCTACACATTGCTGTGGCACAAACAAGCTCCCAACACACACACACACACACACACACACACACACACACACACACACACGTATATAAAATGTAAAAATTTCAAAAAAAAATTCTAGACATTCTAACAGAACATGGTGTTTTTTTATGGTTTGCTGGAGGTGTCTTTTAAATAGTCAGTTGTGAGCAAATGTCCATCTTATCCACTGTTTATTTCAGCTATGTATATTAAAAAGTAAGATAAACTTGGTTTCTGTTTTGTATTTTGCAGAACATGGTCTGAATGTAAGTGCCATTAGTGAGGAGACAAGAGACAGAGCACCATACCTAGGAGGACCCCAAACATGCTAAGCATTCCCACTCAACTATATCTCCAGTTGTCCAAGAAAATTTAACAGGGAATCCCGGCAGCGATGGCACACACCTTTAATCCCAGCACTTGGGAGGCAGAGGCAGGCAGATCTCTGTGAGTTCAAGGCCAGCCTGGTCTACAAAGCTACACAGAGAAACTCTGTTTTGAAAAAAAAATTAACATGGTAATGAACCCTTTTGAAACCAGAAGTTTAGAAGTTATCTCAAAAGTTTGTGTGTTTCCTTGAAGTTTTTGTTTTGTTTTGTTTTTTTGTGGAGTGGGAGGTTGGTTTTTCAAGACAGGGTTTCTCTGTAGCTTTAGAACCTGTCCTGGAACTCACTCTGTAGATCAAGGCTGGCCTCGAACTCACAGAGATCTGCCTGCCTCTGCCTCGAGGAGTTCTGGGATTATAGGTTTGCCCCACCACTGCCCAGCCTCCTTGAAGTTTTATTACACCAACAAAATAGATAATTTTGATATGCTGGGTATAGCAGTGCATGCCTTTAATCCCAACACTCAGGAGAAAGAGGCAGTCATATCTCTGTGAGTTTGAAGTCAGCCTGGAGCTTGGACACAGCCAGTGAGCTCCTGAGGAAAGAAGACCCTGTCATGGTCTATCTCTATTCAGTAATCCAAAATGAGTTAACACTTTAGGTTGTACACAAGAAAGAGACTAATGTCAAAAGATACTGCTTTATCCTATTTTCTTCAATGAACACTGTGAAGCTTAAAACCCATTTTCAAGAGTGTTGAAAATAGGACACTGGAGAGATGACACCGAGATTTCGAGAGCTTGCTTCTCTTGCAAAGGATCCAGCACTCACATCAGGTGGCTTACGACTGACTGTAACTCCAGCTACAGGGAATTCAATGCTCTCTGCTTTCGTCTTTGGTCACCTGCACTTACATGTGCATACTGTTAGAATACACACACATACATACACATGTATAAAAATATAATCTTTTGTAAAGAGTTAAAGGCATGGTGGCACAATCCTTTAATCCCAGCACTCAGGAGGCAGAGGCAAGTAGATCTCTGGGAGTTCAAGGCCAGTCTTGTCTACATAGTTCCAAGATAGCCAGAGCTACATAGAGAGAGACCCTGTACTTCGAAAATAATGAAAGTTAAAAAAAATAAACTATGATACATATATCAGATTTTTTTTTCTTGCCTAGCATGTGAGAGGCTCTAGGTACTATCCCCAGTGTGGACTAGGAGGGGCCGGTCCTTTAATTCAAGGTTTGGTGGCTATAATCCCAGCACCTTGGAGGTTAAAGCAGGAGGATCATAAATTTGAGGCCAGTTTTAGCTAAATAAGAGTTTAAGACCAACTTGGACTACAGAGTAGGAAAACCCTGTCTCAAAAGGGGAGGTGAAAGGCTTGGTAAAACGGATCATTGGGTAAGTCACCTACTGCTAAGTCTGAGGTCTGAGTTTGATCCCCAGGACCTACAAGATAGAAAGAGGATGCTAACTCCTGCAAGTTGCCCTCTAACCTCCCTACGTGTGACATGCCGTGCTCTTGTACACACACATACACAATAAATAAAAGTAGCAGCTGGGCGTTGGTAGTGCACGCCTTTAATCCCAGCACTCAGGAGGCAGAGGCAGGCAGATCTCTGTAAGTTCGAGACCAGCCTGGACTACCAAGCAAGTTCCAGGACAGCCTCCAAAGCAATACAGAGAAACTCTGTCTCAAACGAACAAACAAACAAACAAAAAAACATATATATATGGTGAGAGAAAATAAAAAGGACAAGTAGGTAAAAGCACTTTCTCCACTACACATTCCTGATGACAAGTCCATGGAACCCACATAAAAAAAGACACAGAGGTGCATGAAGACAGGAGGCAGAGACAGGAGAATTCTCAGAAATTTGCAGGCCCACTGGCTTGGAGTATGCAGTGCAACAACAAACAGCAGAAAAGATTCTGACTCAAAAAAAAGTTCAAAGGAGCCAGAAGTTGCCCTTTGACCTCCATGTGTGTGCATGTGCACCTGCACTCAGAAACATACACAGACATTTTTATAATTAGCATAGTTTAATCTGTTCACTGATGCAAAACAGCACACATATAATAAGCATTCAATTTTCTTCTGAGTACTTGAATATTCTACACTTATGTCTGGGCAGGCTATAACTTAGTCTTGTTATTTTTTTAATCATTATTATTATTATTTTTTGCTTTTGGTGTATTGAGGCAAGGTTTCTCTGTGGCTTTGGAGGCTGTCCTGGAACTAGCTCTAGTCTCGAACTCACAGAGTTCCGCCTGCCTCTGCCTCCCAAGTGCTGGAATTAAAGGCGTGCACAACCCACCACCCGGGTTCTTTTTATTATTATTATTAATTTGTATTTAAATTTTAAAATCTCATTTTACATACCAATCCCATTTCCCTCTCCCACCCTCCCATTCCCCTTCCCCCTTGTTGTTATTTTAATATATTTTTATCATTTATTTGTATGTGTATCTGTATGTGCTTGTATGGATTAGGTGCCCTATGTGTGTGCAGGATCTGCAGAGCAGAAGAGGACATCAAATACCCTGGAACTGGAATTACAGACAGTTGTGAGCTGCCATGTGGGTTCTGGGAATTGAACTCTAGTCCTTTGGAAGTCCAGCTAGTGTTCTTAACCACTGAGCCACCTCTCCAGCCCCAACATTTGCTTTTTTCTTTCTTTTTTTTTTTTTCTGTGAGTTCATCTTCCCTGTTCAGGAGTTCACTTACATTGTTGCTGCTGTTGTCACTGCTCTGCTGACATCAGAGCCCAGCGTCTTCAGCCTTCCAACCTGAACTGAAGACCGGTGGCTCTCCAAGAATCTTCTGGGACTTCAGCACCTCACCGAATTGGGACTAATGAGGTTCCTAACCTGGTAGCTGGAGCAGCTAACAGTTCTGTTTCTCCATTGTTAAGGCAGCCACTGTTGAATGTCAATCTAATAAATCCCCCTTTCTTTATTCATTCAGTTGGTTCTGTTTTTCTCCACATACTTAATAAGTTAATGCATCCAGTACTTTGTTTTTTATTTGTGTGTGTGTGTGTGTGTGTGTGTGAGAGAGAGAGAGAGAGAGAGAGAGAGAGAGAGAGAGAGAGAGAGGACACAACTTTATGGAAGTGATTTTTTTCCTTGCACTTTTTTTTTTTTGAGACAGGGTTTCTCTGTATTGTTTTGGAGCCTGTCCTGGAACTCGCTCAGTAGACCAGGCTGGCCTCGAACTCACAGATATCCGCCTGCCTCTGCCTCCCAAGTGCTGGGATTAAAGGCATGCATCGCCACCAATGCCCTGCTGGGCTTTGGTTACTTAAGAGCTGCCATTAGAAGAAATCTAGACTCAGTTCCTTTTCCTCTTCCCCTTCTGAGTCCCACAAAAGCCATTTGTGGGCACTGTGGAGCCCAGGTTCTGACTGCTGCTTCCTCTTGTGATTATCCTATTTCCCCTGAGCCACTGTAATGTTCAGTAATGACTGTGTTTTCTGGATAGGCTTTGGAAGACCCTTCCCAGTGCCCTCTGTCTGATGGAAGGTGAGAGCACCCATGGCCACAGCCACCTGGTTTCTGGAACGTTGGTTCTGGGTTGTTAAAGAATGTGTTGTGTGTCTTCCCTGCACTTCATACTAGGCAGGTCAGAAGGCACCCTGCTTCTAGAACTCAATGGTGGAATGGAGCTGTGTGCAGAAGAGAGGATCTGCTGCAGTGTCACAAAAGCATGGGATCCCCAGTGCACCCAGGCAGGTGACCATCTTCAAAGGTCACCATTGGGACATTTGGAGCCCCTGGGCTGAGAGAGAAGAAAGAACCCTGCTTAGATGTTTAAGCAGGAGACGCCTAGAGCCAGGCATTCTGCTTTTAGCAAGGAATTCCAGGACGAATATGGAAAGGGTGACTTGGGAATTCTGACCCTTCCAGCATCTGAATCTGCAGGCAACTGGTTCTAAGGAACCTCCCACCCCCCAAGAACTCCCTGAGAATTCATGGCTGCTACTTTCTCACACCTGGCCATGCCTGCCAGTGAGTGAGGCAAAATTACATTGTCCAGGAGCATTCTTGGATCAGAGCACAGGACAGGGGGGGAAGGAGGCAGGGCTTCAAGGGGCTATAAAACCCCTGAGGGTGCAGGGGCATTGAGACTGGCTCCACAGAATGCCTCAGCTAAGGCGTTGCAAAGAGCATGGACCTCTAAGACAGTGGGAACAGTAGGTGTCCATGCTGCCCATAACTCTCCAAGCCACAGAAGCTCCTGGACTCTTGGTGGAGAATACCTACCCCAAACCAACTCAGGTGAGATAATACTCTACCACAGCCCTTGTGCAATGAGTATAGGCTCTGAGGTTGGCCTAGGTGACCTCAGGACGCCTGTGAAACCACATTAGAATGCTGTGACTCTCACTCTCTAGCTCTAGTATGCTCTGCAGTAAACAGGCTCCTGGGCTGGCCACAATGATAGGGTAGGACTCTGGGTGCTCAGTCCTTCTCTGCCCTCCATAGAGCCTCTCCACAATGTTTCCCATAAAATCACAGGCAGATGCTGCTGACTGGTCTTGCAGAAGCTGGGAGTCTGAAAGCACAGTCTGAGAACCTCGATGAGAATCCACACGTTTGAGGCTGGAGAGATGGCTCAGGAATTAAGAGCACTGCCTGTTTTTCCAGAGGTCCTGAGTTCAATTCCCAGCAACCACATGGTGGCTCACAACCATCTGTAATGAAGTCTGGTGCCCTCTTCTGGTCTGCAGGGATACATGCAGACAGACTACTATATACATCATAATAATTTTTTTTAAAGGAAGAATCCACACGTTTGTGCCACTGCCACTAGATTTATTAAGATTGCCAACACATCCACTAAGAGGGCCACCAAGAGAGCCCCAGCCGCACCTGGCCTGGTGTCTGAACTAGGGAACTCCTTTAGAGAGAGCCCAAAGTCAGACACATTATAAGGACTGGACAGTTCATTGTGTGGGAAGAGAAGCAGGAAGCTAGGGGTGCAGGAGAGCGGGTAGGAGCAGGAACAAAATTTGCATCTAGACAGAACTGAACAAGACAAAAACAAAACCCGAAAGCGTTGTCGTCGCTGCTGGGTCCAGTGCTCCTTAGCCAGACATCTCCTCCCGCTGCTCCTTGTTCCTGCGCACCTCAGCAGCATGCAGCTCCTGTGAAGACAGGCGGAGAAGCCCTGAGGAATTTAGCGCTAGAGCCACAGTGCTTAGGGATCAGATCAAGGGCCTGGGCATCTGACCCCCAGCGTAAACAAGTTCCATCCCTTCTAGGAGCTGTGCCCCGTGAGGATGCGAATTCCTTCAGAGCGCTTCATAATTAATTCAATCATATATTACTGTGATTGTTAAATGTGTCCTCACTAGGACCAGGTTCTGGGCCTGATTCCAACATTACGGGAAGTGCTCAAACAACCCCCCCCCCACCAAAAAAAATCTAGAAAGACATTATTAGGACTCCCTTCTTCACTCAGTATGCAGCCGGATCCCACACCCAGCAATGATCACGTACCCCACATCAACGTCCCCAAACCCGCGCCCACCTTTTCGCGCAGCCGTTCGCGCAGAGCGGCCAGGTGCGCCTCGCGGATCTCCTTGCTCAGCTCCATCTTGTAGTTAAGCTTCTCCTCCGCCAGGCGGCTAAAGTTATTGTTTTCTTCCAGCGCCTTGTGCAGCACCTCGCGCTCGTGCTCACGCCTCTCTGCCAGCTGCTTCAGCACCTGAGCCTCCTGGGTCTGCGCAGAGCCAGGAGTTAGTAAGCAGCGTCTGGGACCCCTCCTGAGTCAGGCCTTCACTCTCTGATGCCCAAACGGTAAACAAACCCTTCGTGCCTCACCTCCCAAGACATGGACCCAGAGCTGGTCTTCTGGTCTGGCAGCCAAGCAGCTTAATGCTTAACGTTCCTAGCTTAATGACACTTGTCTGCGACTCGCTGTCCTGCTGTTCCAGCTCCACCTGATACCCATAACTTTTCCCGCGGTCCCTGGTACTAATTTCTATGAGCTTAGAGGCCTTAACACTATCCTGCGTTCCATCTCAGTTTGCCTGGGACTTCTGGGGCTTTTGCACTGAAAATCCTGCTTGCCAGGAGACCCCCACCAGTACCAGGTGAACCGCAGTGGCTTTGCTTTGTGCTACCCTCAGCCACGGTCTCCTTGTTGGACTGAGAACTCCCAAACCCAGAAATGTTGAATAAAACAGAGTAAATTCTGAACCCTGAGTTATGGTGGCTTCTCCAGATCTCCCCCAGCCAACTCCCTGTTGAGCACTGAGCAGGTATAGGCGCAGCTGGGTCAGCTAAGTCCTAGCTCCCCGCTATTGCTCAATAAAGGGATGTGTTCACTGGGAACTGGGAAGGGACACGATGGTGCTACCCTGCCCTACCCTGCTGGGGAAAGGAATGTCTGGTGACTGCTGGGATAAAGGATGATGAGGAGAGCCAGGATCCCTGCTCTCCTGAATGATACCGGGCACCCATGGGTACATCAATTTCGAGATAAACTTGTTGAGCCTGAGTCCTGCTGTGTCCTACTGGGCATGGATTAAGTAATTTCCCCTATCCAGTTGCCTTTTGGATCTTAATCCTAGAACAAATCTTTTTTTTTTTTTTCAAGACAGGGTTTCTCTGTATTGCTTTGGAGGTTGTCCTGGAACTCACTCTGTAGACCAGGCTGGCCTCAAACTCACAGAGATCCCCCTGCCTCTGCCTCCCAAGTGCTGGGATTAAAGGTGTGTGCCACCAATGTCCAACTCCTAGAACAAATCTTGTTCTCTGTGTTTCAGTTTCAAAGGGGCTGGCGTGAGGAGGGGCTGGGAGCCCCATTCTTGTCTCCCAGGGCCCCACTGAACTACCTAACCAACCCAACTAAGGATCAGTTGTGAGACCTTTTCTTCTTACTCTTCTTGAAAGGGGTGCTAGCTTCCGCTGAATGTCCCCCAAGGCTCTTCCGGGGGGAACACAGCCTGACCTTCCTCTGCCATGATCAAAGTTGAAGTCCCTCTCAAGAATGTGGTTCCTGTTACCCTATGTTTGTCACCATCTCCACACTATCCTCTCATCTCTTCCCAATTGCTCAGCAGCAAGTCCTGCCACTTCCCAGTCCAATGCCCTGATCAAGCAAAGGGCCTGGTCAGAGATGCCAAGTGTATGGCGGGGAGTCCTTGCCTTCCTCCGCTCCTCGGCTGCCTCCAGCCGCTTCTGCAGCTCCTCCAAGGAAGCATCCTTCCTCTTGGGGGGAGAGGAGAGCACAGGGCTCTCTGGGGACAGGTCAGAAGGAGACTTGAGGATGACCTCGAAGCTCTGGCCAGAGGCTCGCTTGTCCAGCTGTTTCACTTCCATGTCTGCAGGGCAAGACCAGAAGGGGAGTCAATGAGGGGCTAGCCAGAGGATACAGGCAGTATGAGAGGCTTTCTCCAGCACACATCCCACCAAGGGTTGCTCAGGTAGTACTCTTGGGCATGGGTCCCTCCTCCCAGAATGACTCTCTGCAGCAGCCAGACAGGCCACACAGCATTACCAGAGATCAGGAGAAACAAGAGCAAGGCTAACAGCTGCACGGATACACTCACCCCCATACTGGTAGATGGTGTTGGGGTGAGGCTGTGAGTAGAAGCAGGAGCAGATGAGTGACAGCACAGACAACTCCTTCATCTTCTCCTTGTAGGCTGTGGATATGAAGTCACGGTGAGGGGATACTATGACCACCCTGATGTTTCTAGGTCTTCCTTTTCTACATTGATCTTTACCTACATGCATATTTTTTTGCATTGTTTTGTTTTGAGACAGGGTCTCATGTAGTCCAGACTGGCCTTAAACTCACTACATAGCCAAGAATGACCTTGAACTCCTTATTCTTTTGTCTCCACCCCCCAAAGGCTGGATGTATAGGTGTGCGCACCACCATGCTTGTTTTGAGACAGTCTTGTTATATACCCCATGCTGGCCTGGAACTCATTATGTACACCAGGATGGGGTTTTTTGTTTGTTTTGTTTTTAAAGATGTATTTATTATGTATACACAGTTCTTCATGCCTGTACTCCTGCAGGCCAGAAGAGGGCAGCAGACCTCATTACAGATAGTTGTGGTCTCTGGGAATTGAACTCAGGACCTCTGGAACAGCAGCCAGTGCTCTTAACCTCTGAGACATCTCTCCAGCCCACAAGGCTGCTTTTTTTTTTTAACTCATGCTCCCAAAAACTAGGATTACAGATGTGCATTTCTGCATCTGGCCTGTTTTGGTCTCTTATACTTTTTGTATGTTTCTCTATTCCTATTGTGGTCGGAATGTTCCCTTCCCATGTTAGGAGGTGAGCAGGTCATAATCATGCAAATTGGAGTAAAACCTTGTCTGAAATAAGAAAATCAAAGCAGTTTTGTGTTTTGTTTTTTGTTTTGTACAGACTTCCGAATGAGGTTAATGACCTTATTGCACAGGATTCTTAGTAATCCTTCAGATCTTTCAACAAGTGAGGTCACAAGGACACACCTATAAATGAAGAAGCAACCTTCACTAGACCAGCAAACCTAGTGTTACCTTGACTTTGAACTTCTAATCTATAGAGAAATAAATTTCTACCTTTTAGAACAAACACCCAGTATAAAGGTATATTTTTCTGATTAGTCTGAACAGACTATAACACTTCTGTCAGGGTCACTGTCCTCTGTCTTTTTTACTTAATCACTATTCTTGTGTCCTTTCCTTCTGGATTTTTGCTTTTTGGTTCTGTTTTTAAATAGAGTTTTACTCCAGTCCAGGCCAGCATTCAACTCCCAATAATCTTCCTGCTTCAGCTTCCTGTGTTAAGATTACAATGTAGCTGGGCAGCAGTGGTATACACCTTTAATCCCAGCACTTGGGAGGCAGAGGTAAGCCTGATCTACAAAGAGAACACCCCACCCCCACCCCTCCCCCGTCCCTAAAAACCAAAAATCAAAATATTACAAATGTAAGTCACTACACCCAGCTTTGAGTCTTTCTGTGGCTTTGGAAGCAGTCCTGGAACTAGCTCTTGTAGACCAGGCTAGCCTCGAATTTGCAGAGATCTGCCTTCCTCTGCCTCCCGAGTGCTTGGATTAAAGGCATGAGCCACCACTATCCAGCCACACTTACTTTTAAAATGGAAATAGTCTTACTGTAGTGGGTCCATTCACTTGTGAACCAGCTCCTTGGAGACTACTGTCTTGGTAAAGTCCAAGATCCTGCAAGCCCAGTGTAGTTACTCCATTCCACAGGGACAAGGCTAGGTCTTAATTTACTGGGGTAACATTAGCAACAGTCACTGAAAGGCAATTCTAGGTGATCACTGTTCTTTTCCATTTTAGCAATTCCCAAAGTCTGGTAGGCTCCGAGACTCAGACCTAGGTCTCTAGATAGACTCAAGAAGAGCAGTAGGAAGAAGACGGGGGGGGGTAGGAGGGGAAGGAAAAGGAGGAAGAGGAGGAAGAAGAAGACTTTCCATGTCTGATTACCTACTAGTACCTTTTGAGGGGACAGACAAGAGGAACTTGGGCAAGCATTTAGATACACCAGAAACTTTTGATCAAGTTTTACCCAATAATTTTTAAAAATTGAGTTGGGCTAGGCTGTGGTGGCACGTGCCTTTAATTCCAGCATTAGAAAGGCAGAGGCAGGTGGACCTATGGGTTCTAGGCCATCCTAGTCTAGAGAGTGGGTGCCAGGACAGCCAGGACTACATAGAGAAACCCTGTTTCAAGGGAAAAAAATGGATTGACGTAGAATTAAGGATATGGGGTAGAAATGGTAAAAAGTTTCATGGTAAATGTTGTCTTCCCACAACAAGCACAGAGAATACTGTTTTAATTTAAATTTTCTAATAACTCAGATTTACTTGCAAGAAGCATGGAACCCAAGAAGCAGCAGAAAGGGCAGAAAGGAATCCCCGAAGTGGGCAAGTCAAGGCTAGTCACTGTCTTCAGAAGAATTTGGGAGGGAAAAAGAGAAAGGCAGAGAGGGGCAGGCCTCAAAGGGGACTTCATGCTTTTTTAAATTTTTATATGTATGGTGCATATTGTTTTTCCTGCATGTACATCTGTACACCAAATTTATCCCTGGTGTCCATAGAGGTCAAAAGAGAGTAGTCAGATCCCCTGAGACTGGGGTTGCAGAGGTTTGTGAGTGGTGCTGACAATCAAACCTAGGTCCTATGGAAGATTGGCCAGTGCTATTACCCGTGCTTTGTTTTTCCTTCCCTTCCTTCCTTCACTCCTTCCTTCCTCCTTTCTGTTATTTTTTTAAGGCAATGTATAATGTAGCCTAGGCTGACCTTGCACTCACTATGTAGCAAAACCTGTCCTTGAACTTCTGATCATCTTGCCTCTACTTCCTGAGTGTACCATGCCTAGCCAAGTTTTGCCTTTTTCATAAACAACATCTACTCATATATTTGAGCTATGAAAGATTAATCCAACAAAGGAGTTGGGGGGGTAATATTCCAGGTCACGTGGTGAGGAGCTAGAGGAATTAAGAGATTAACAGCAACAAGTCAGTAGACATCTGTGCTTCTAGAGGAGGTCAGTCTTGTGCTGAGAGTAAAAGAGGGTCTGAGCTTGCTAGCACCCACCTCCCTGCCAGTCCTGGTATTACATATTATCATTTCTCATCTTGTATCCAAACCCCTAGCAGACTGTCCTCAGAGGTCAGGCCAGGAACCTGGGGCCTGACAGTTGCTCAAAGGCCATTTCTGCATGAGCCTGAATCACCCACAGGGAAAGGACTGTAGGTTCATAGAAGATAACATCAGCTTTAGGAACCAGTACCAGGAGACTGTCTTCCAGATAGCTGTCACTTCAGCAGGGGAGAGGCTGGGAGGGACTCAGGGAGCAATACCAGCCCAGGGAAGGTGTGAGCATCTAGAGAGAAGGGTAGGGTGCTGTCCACCTATGTCAGAGATCCCTGAAGTCAAAACCTGAAAAATAAGTGTCCAACTGGCAAGTGAGGTACCATGTATTGTAGCTGTAGTGGGGGGGGGCACAGAGTCCGGTGGTCGTGGACATTCCTTGGTATGGTTTCTCTCAGTCTGATAGACAATGAGGAACTTCCTTCCCAGAAGACAGATATTCAAGGAGCAAATAGACAAGTGACCACAGAGCAGTGCCTGCTCTTTGATCTGACTGCAGGAAGGCGAGCGTGTTGGAGAAGACAGGACAATTGACGAGGAACTGGTACCTCAGAGACGGTAAGCAAGAGGAATACCTTACCTGGGGCTGATGGAGAAATGGGCCAGGTCTGGCTATAGCACGAAGCTGAGGTTGGGTCCATGTTTTTGGAGCCGGAGCTTAAAGGGTCTTTTACACACGTGGTCCCCTCTTAGGATGATACTGAAATTCTCTGGGCGTGAGGGGTGGGCTCAGGGCAGGACTGCGTGATGGGTGGAGTTTATACCTAGGGCCAAAGCCAAGGAGTGGGCGAACCACGCATTGACCTATTTGACCGCCGAGATCAGCCTCTTGGGCTGAAGGAAGGAAAAGGCAGCAAGAACATGTGGTTCTTAGAAGAAACCAAGGTCAGGAGGTGTGGGGGGGGGCGGGGGTTTCAAGCGTCCTGCAGTCTCAAGCACCCAGAAAAAAAAAAAAAAAAAAAAGACGAAACCCTGCTGGGGCTGCGACTGGGCGGGGCATCCAGTGTGGGAGGGGCTGTCCAGCTTTAGGGTCTCTCAGGTCAGGAATCCAGCCACCACCATAACCACCCCATGCCTAGTATCCTCTTGGTGTCCGTCCCCCCCCCCCCGCCTCCCTCTATGCAGTCTGAAGTGCAGGAGACTCCCTACGAAAGCAGACTCCCCCACCACACCCTGGAAAGGTTTGGAAATGCCACAGCCTCTTCTCCACTTACACCCAGTGGCTAAAAGGGCGGAGGTTTTTCTGACTGGAGCAGGTGGCCCTAGATGCGCAGAGGGTGGTCCCCAGCTGCAGCGGTCACAGAGGGGAATGGAGGTGGGGAAACCACGCTTGTTGCAGGCTCTAGCCTCCCTCCGCGCGCCGTTGAAAGGTACCCTCCTGTGTTCCCGCGCCCCTCCCCCCACTTCTCAGGGACCGAGGTCCAGGCTTCCGCGGAAGGTCCCACCTCCCCCTCGATTCCCTATGAAGACTCCACGGCACTGAAATCCAAGGTCGCAGGAGCCTTAGGGGACCTCCTAGCTCCACTGCAGGCACTTTCTATGCGCAGGCAAGAATCCGCAGAGCCACTCTGCCGCAGTCGCACCTTGGCCCTGCACCCCGGCGCCCGAAGGGGCAATGCGCCCGGGAACCCGACTTCACATAATGCTGCTTTAGGGCGCGGCTCCTACCCCGTGTCCAACTGCTGCTCCTCCCGCACTTAGAGTCCCCTTTCGCCTTAGAGGGCTCCGGACCCCCGTTCTTGCAGGGCCAGCCCAGCTCGCCATGCATAAGGTTCAACACAGGAAAACGGAGTCAGTAACTTGTTCCTGCATCAGGCAAGGCCTTTGCTTAGACAATGGCTTCTGCTCAGACCCACCGCGTTCCCACGATCCCCCAAGTCCCCGAGCCCTACCAGATACGGTGCTGGCCATGGTGCTGGAGGCGGCTGGGGCTGCGGAGGCCGGAGGGATACGGGCGGCGTCTGGGAGCTGCAGTCGGCGAATGCTGCAATGCTGTGGAGGGGAGGGAGGAAGGGCGGGCGCGGCAGGAGGGGGAGGGAGAGAGGGATGGAAGGAGGGAGAGGGGGTGGAAGGAAGGGGAGGGGAAAGGAAGAAAAAGAGGAAAGGAGAGAGGAAAGGGAGAGAGACAGAGACAGACTAATCCACAGACGGACGGACAGACAGACAGTGAATGAAAAACCGAGGGCAACAACTATCAAAGGGAAGACAGTGAGAGGGGATGGAGGGAGAGAATAGCAAAGGATGTAGCAAAAGGCCTGTGTTTCATCTGCAAGCAACCGTGGATGACACTTCTGTTACATGGCTTTGTGTGACTTGGAGGATATGGAGACAAGACTTATTCCCCAGAACAGGCAGGGAAGGATCAAGGCTAGTGTGAGGCTGGATGACCCCTAAGTCCCCGTCTGGGTTGAAAGGAAGGGATTCCTGGTTTGCAAGGGGTGATAAGGGCCTGCAAGAATATCTGAGGTGACTCTGCCCAGGGGATGAGCAGATTCTGGTTAGATAGGGGGAATGGTGAGGCCTATGACTGATGTGACCTCGAGTCAGATTCAAGCACCAGCTCTGAGATTCTCTATTTTGATGGGTTAAGAATTTCTAGTCTCTCTGGGCCTTTGCTTCTTAGGTGTAAGATGAAGCCAAAATTCCAGACCCCAGAAAATGGAAAAGAGAAGATGTGCCAGAACTGAGTGTATACATGTAGTTTGCGGTGACCAAATTCTCTGATCATGGGCTGGGTGTGGTAGTTCGTGCCTTTTTTTTTCTTTTCTCGAGACAGGGTTTCTCTGTGGCTTTGGAGCCTGTCCTGGAACTTGCTCTGTAGATCAGGCTGGCCTCAAACTCACAGAGATCTGCCCGCCTCTGCCTCCTGATTACTGGGATAAAGGCCAGCGCCACCAACGCCCGGCTAGTAGTGCATGTCTTTAGTACCAAGACTCGAGAGGCAGGATCTTTGTGAGTTCCAGGCCACAGTGAGACCCCCAAGGAGTGGGGATAGGCTCTGACAAAATGCAATACAGGAGGAAGATTTGTTTCAGCTTACAGGTTACAGTCCACCATTGAGGGAGTCAAGGCAGGAACTTGAAATCAGGTCTGCTTGCTATTCCATAAAGCATTGCCTCTGACTAAGAGATATGGTCACTTTTAAGGGAAGGCAGCGGGGACAATGGAGAAAGGCTGCTTTCCCGTTCATAAGCAGGCTTATGTTTAGCTAGCTTTCTCTTCTTTTTTTTTTTAACTTTAATTTTATTTATTCTTTGTGTCTTTCACGTCAACCCTTCCAACCCCATCCATTCTCCCTCCCCTGCCAAAATAAAACAAAATAAAATTTAGGAAGAAAAGGGAGGAGGAGAGAAGGGAAAAAGTCTCACCATGGAAGCTACAGAGTGACACAGTGAGCCACGCAGTCAACCCCTTTATCCATATATATTTTACGTGCAGGTGTTTTTTGCAGAGTCATCAGTCTGGTTTGGTTTCTGCCGCACCGTAGATGCTGGGCCCTCACTGGGACTCTTCCTGGACACCCAGTTGCTGCCTTGTGTCATGGAGCTCCTGCTCCCGACCCCTGACCCGTGTTCCAGCAGATCACAGATGGGGTGGATGTTGGGGTGAGCCAACACGTAACTCTGGTTCTGGGCCTGAGTAGTTGCAGAGTTGGTCAGTCCGCCAACTCTTCCCTGTCTTCACCACCAGGGTAAGCTCTCCAGTGTTGCCCTGGCTAGTTTACCCCTAGAAGAGATGAGCAGGGTGTGGGGCTAGTTCAGGGCCAGCTTTACAGTGTTGCCAGGCAAGGTGTAGGGGGCACTCTCCCGAGTGCTGCAGTTGATAAGGGGCAGGACCAGCACTCCTGCTCTTACAATCTCAGGGCCAGCTCTTATACCCACTTCAGGCATTGATGGGTGGGGGAGAGAGCCACTGAATGACATATGAGTAATGGGGACAGTTTTCCCAAACTCACAATATCAGGGCTGGCTCATCCACACCTCCACTAACAGGGTCAGTTTTACTAGGCTACCCAGGTAAGGTGCAGGGGACACTTTCTGGAGTGCTGAAGCTGGTAAGAGGGGAAAGTCAACTCCCTCACCCACCACAGGTGGCAGGGTCAAGGGGGAAGGGGACATCTTGCTGCCTAGGCGAAGAGCAGGGCCCGATTTCCTGAGTGCTGCAGTTGGGAAGGAGGAGGGCCAGTACACTCATCTGTCACACAGGTGGTTAGGGGCGAGGGGTTCTCCCATACCCACATCACCAAATGACAGATGAGTAGTAGGGACGGTTCTCCCACACTCACAACTTCGGAGCTGACTCACTCACACCTCTGATAACAGGGTTGGCTCTATTGTTCTGCCCAGGCAAGGTGCAGGGCCTGTTCTTCCTAGTGTTGCAGCTTGTGAGAGGCAGGGGTAGCGCTCTCACTCTCATGACCTCAGGACCACTAGGTAGCTTTCTTATATAGTTCAAGACAACCTACCTGGCGATGGCCTTGCCCACAGACGGCAATTAACAATCAAAAGAGTCCTCCAAAGAGATGCACACAGGCAAATTCTGACTCAGGCAATCTCTTAATTGAAATTCTTTTCTGATGTGACTCCAGGCTCTGCCAAGTTGACAGGTAAGGCTAACTTGGACATGTGGGGAACCTGGTTTGCCTTTCCTGAGGAGAGAGCCTGATACCCAAATGGAGTATCGCATCCACTTTTGAGGTGGAGCCACTGAAGAAGCCAAAAGAAGAAGGATTGTTTCACAAGCATTTAACACATAAGGCTAGGAATTAAACCACTGAGAATCCTCCAAGACTCGAAGAGAGATGAGGCAGCTCAGAAAGGCCAAAGTCAGTGGAAAACCTAAGGACCAAGTATATATGGAGTCATTCCAGTAGGGTTCCGTACAACCTTGCACCTGGTATGTATACCTGGGCCTGAACCTGTGGATCTGACACTTGTGATTAAATTGCATTGTATGGACTAGAATACCTTTAAAGGGCTGGGTGGTGGTGGCGCACGCCTTTAATGCCAGCACTCGGGAGGCAGAGGCAGGCGGATCTCTGTGAGTTCGAGGCTGGGCTGGACCGATAGCCTCCAAAACAATACAGAGAAACCCTGTCTCATAAAAACCAAAAAAAAAAAAAAAAGAATACCTTTAAAGGGAATATCTAGTGGACCTGAGTAACAGGAGCACCATTTTTTTCTAACGAGATCCTCTCTCTCTGTCTCTGTCTCTCTCTCTCTCTGTGTACGTGTGTGTGTGTGTGCGCCCATGTGCCTGTCTGTGTGCACTTGTGTACCTGTATCCATGGAGGCCAGAGAGGGCATTAAATCACCTGAAATTACTGTTAATGGTGCATGTGATCTGTCCGTTGTGGATGCTTGGCAATGAACTCTAGTCTTCTTGACCACTGAGCTATCTCTCCAACCCTAACAAGAGCACTTTCAGATCAGAGTGTACAGTTCTCACTGTGGAGTCAAGTAGCAGAGATATGAAAGCTGTTTCCATCTTGTAGTCAGTGAGACCTTACAGCCACCACCACTGGAAGCAAACTCTGCCAACATGAATACCCTGGATACAAGTTTACCTTTAGAGCCTCCAGACAAAAGTCCAGGCCTAATATGTGAGGCCTAGAACAGGGTTTTGGTGTGAGTTAGTCAGGTCGCAGCACCAGTTCTAACATCCTCTATTTAATATTCTCTATTGGAGGGAGAGTTGCTGACCTCTCTGAGTATCTACATCTTGGTGTAAGATGAAGTTATAATGCCAGACCCCCAAAGATGGAGAGTGTGCTAGAGATTGTCTTGAGCTGCTTACTCATGGTACTTTGTTATATATAAATACCACACCATTCACATGCAGAAAGCACAGTTCTTCTATGTATAGTCTATCATTAGAATTCTGCTTTGAAGCCGGGCGTTGGTGGCACACGCCTTTAATCCCAGCACTCTAGAGGCAGAGGCAGGCGGATCTCTGTGAGTTCGAGGCCAGCCTGGTCTACAGAGCAAGTTCCAGGACAACCTCCAAAACAATACAGAGAAACCCTGTCTCAAAAAACAAAAACAAACAAACAAAAAAAGAATTATGCTTTGGGAGGGACTTGGAAGAAGGGAGAAACTCACAAATCTATTCCTAACAGTGGCCTTGACACAAATGGAAGCCACCATGTCTTCTAGATTAGTTAGTGCACCTGCACCTGTGTATTGTAGTCTCCTTTAGATGAACTCAGATCCAGAGGCTGAAACTCAGCTGCTGAGATCAAGAGAAGTAACCCTCTCGACCTTCCAGTCTTCTCTGGCAGATAGAAGAGCACACACCCAGGCAGGATCACAGAACTGTATTGCCATATTCTGACCTTGGGCACGACTTCTCATGAACTTCTATCCTTGTCTGAAACCCACAGACCAGCTGTGTTGTTCCTCCCCGGCACAGTGTCAGGCACACAGTAAGGAAAACACTATGCACAGTGGGCATATTAAATGTTTGCCTTAGTATGGTGCCATGTTTGGGAGCAGACCTTGAGTTCTCACTAAGATCAACTAAAGAAAGTTCATGAGCTACTGCTTTGGGGATGCTACTCATGGACTAAGAATTTACAGATCATAACTCTTTACTGCTCTGATTAATTGTGGATCTTCTAGAAGGGGCCCTGCATCTCAGAAGGGTACTCAGTCATCCAACAAGCATCAGTAAAACACCTGTTGTATGCTGGGGGCTTGGAATACATCAGACAAGAGGACAGGAGAGGTGTACCAGAATCCTGGTACTTGGCAGCTGCTGGCAATGAGGAGGCCCCTGGAGATAGTTTCAGGCAGATCCATTCAATTATATTCATTTCCAGTCTCCCAGACCTCCAGTCAGGCATCAATATACTCCTGAACAGAGTGGGAGTCCTTAGGTTAGCTACTCTTTTCTCTGTTCTTATTAGCCTCTTTGAACTTCCTACTTTCTGGAAGGTTTATTGTGTCCCAGTCACTTTTCAGAGTCCCAGAGCCAGCAACATGACTTTACTCATACTACCCCCAGAACAGTCTTCATAGAAGCCTTTTCTAACCTCTAGCCAAGGGAGCCCCCTCACTATTATTTCCTTTCTTTATACTTATCACAATCTTATCTGTGTTTGGTTTACATCTACCCTGTGACTGAGACGGTATCCCTTGGAGTCTGACAGAGCAGACCCTGAGTGTCTACGTTTGTTGGCTTGGTTGAGATTCCTTTGCCTCCTGAGTGAGACTCGCTAGATCTTGCCTCAGTTTCCCCACCCCCTCATCTCTCAGATTAGATTCATGAGAATATCTTCCACACAATTTGTTACTAGAGTTGTTAGAATCAGAGCATGGGCTCTGGAAGCCCTAACAAGCTGTGCTTGGCAACTGGTTCTAAATACATCAATTAAGCAGATAATGCAATAGTGAAAGCAGAAACAGATTTCTACAATGTGGCAACATTAAGCAGAGGAACAATGAGGTCCAGTTATCTCCCAGGTGATCTTCAGACATCTGACATAAAGTTTAGGTTTATTTAGAGGACAAGAAGTATAATTAATAGGCAGTCTTGGGTCCTAGCCTTTGTCTCTGGCTTCAGTCTCTCTGGCAAAGTGGTCTGACAAGTTGTCATAATTGTGTAAAATCTCTTTCCCAGAGACGAGTCCCTTCTCCAGATGGTACCACTTCATTCTTTTCCTTCATTTCCTGGAAAATTCTAATTTCTTGGGGGATCCATTGTTTAAATAGTCTGATAGTCAAAGGGAAGATCATCATATGTATCTCTTTAGAATATATTCATTCCTGCCAGACGTTTCATTGGAAGCTGTTCATGTTTCCTCAAAGAAACTAACTATATGCTGAGGACCTATACTTGCCTTGCTATGAACCCAGGAGACACACGAATCAGGTAAGGCCTCAGCTCCTCTAGTGTCCCAGGAAGCTTTTTCTGTGCTTGGTGCCCCCCTAACTGTCAATTTCCCAATGAGAGCCGGGCGTTGGTGGCGCACGCCTTTAATCCCAGCACTTGGGAGGCAGAGGCAGGCGGATCTCTGTGAGTTCGAGACCAGCCTGGACTACCAAGCGAGTTCCAGGACAGCCTCCAAAGCCACGGAGAAACCCTGTCTCGAAAAACCAAAAAAAAAAAAATTCCCAATGAGAGCTGAGGGGCTGACACAGGTGTCTACTGACTGTGTATAGATGTGTCAGGGTGTTCCATAAGTATGATCTCACATTCATGGGTATGGGCATATCTGTAGGAAACTACCTGGGTATTAAAGAGAATCAAAGAAAAACTCTGGCCGGGCGTTGGTGGCACACGCCTTTAATCCCAGCACTCGGGAGGCAGAGGCAGGCGGATCTCTGTAAGTTCGAGACCAGCCTGGACTACCAAGGGAGTTCCAGGACAACCTCCAAAGCCACAGAGAAACCCTGTCTCGAAAAAAAGAAAAAGAAAAAGAAAAACTCTGAAACAAGTGTCTACTGGCAGTAGACATGAAACATCTATTTCTTTTCGTTGCCTTTTGGCAACATCTCTGATGTCAGGACTGCCCTCAAGGACTGGGCTACTCTCTCTTCCCTGGAGTTCCTGGTTGACTGTCAACTAGAGCCAGGTGCTGAAGATTTAGAGGACTTACCCTGATTGCTGGGGGTGAGGTGGGTAACTGATTCGAAAATAAGCTGTAGCCAGTGTGAGAGAGCAGGAAGTGAGGACTCTTAATCGGGAGTCCTAGGCAAGATACAGCCATTTATGGATTTTATTAAAAAATGATAGACTTATATTCCAGCTGTGAAAAAGATGCCTCTTGTGGGGCGAGGTTAGTAACCACGAGAAAGCTAGGATCTGTGTAGTAGTGAGGACAATGATGGTGGTCTGGCCAAAGTGAGCTAGTCGACGACAGAAGACTGAGCTTACGATGCAGAAGTGGGAGGCGAGCGAATTTCTAGACGATTGCAAGAACACAGATTGCTAGAATACAGAGATGACTCAGGCCCACTGCGCAAAAACCCGCGAGCTGGCGGCGCCCAGGGGCGGGAGAAACCTGCTGGCCCAGAGGTTGGGGAACGGTTTCCACCCGGATGGCAAAGCAGAGGACCGGAAGGGAGGGGACGGAAGTGCAACGTTTAGCCGCAATCCTCTGATCAGCCCGCGAAGTTCCAATCAGCCGGCTTCGGAGGACGCTGGATGGGCGTCTTCACAGATGATTACCTCGGGACCCGGATTCTGAAAGGCGCTCCCACTGAGACCAGTGAGTACTCAGGCCGCTGGCAGTTTTATCTGAGCGGTCCCTGGACCGAGGTCATAGACCACGCTCGCGCCTGTTCTGGGGCGGCCGTGGTGCGGGGCGGGGAGGGGGGGGGGGGCTCTTGCTCCCACTGGAGTCTAGCTAGAGGCGCCTCCCTTGGCTATCTCTAAGGCGGAGGATATACACTAGCCTGTCAGTGCCATCATAGAGTGGACCCGGAGGTCTGGAGAAGCTGAGTAACTTGGTAAGGGCTGCACAGCTTTACACACCATGATTTCTGTTTTGCTACCGCCACCCCCACCCCCACCCCGCCCCCACCCTGAGACCAGCTATGTCTCTGTAGCCCAGGCTACCCAGGATCTCATTATGTAGACCAGGCCGGAGCCCTCCTGAGTGCGGGGAACCAAGGCATAGCCACCACACCTGGCCTGTTTCGCTACTTCATCTGCACTTGGGTGTTCACCCGGACTGAAGGGCGCGTGGCCCCTGCCTCAAGAGCTTCGGAGGCAGGAGGCGTTCCACCACTTCAGTGTGCCAACCCCATTCCACGAGTGATGCTGCCAGAATTTCAGTCGCACGTTTTTTTGTGAAGAGTTTCGGCTAGGGCACGTAGATCGTGCTTGTTGCTTGGAAAAATAGATCCCCGCCCCCCCAGAGTAGGCCGGAATTGTGTGAGTCAGGAGATCATTTGGTATCTTTACCTCTCCAAGCACCTTTTTATTTATTTATTTTTGAGACAGGGTCTCTACATATCCCTTGTTGCCCTGGAACTCACTTATGTAGTCCAGTCTCCCTGCCTCTGCCTCCCAAGTGCTAGGATTAAGGGCGTGTGCCACCACGACTGGCTCCAAGCCCCTTTTGATAGGAAATAGCAGGCTTCCTGACCTGCGCAGGAATAACTTCCTTAAACGATTGGTGTAGTGGCCTGTGGCTACAAAGGCTTCTTTTCCTTGTCTGTGTTGTAGGGAATTCCTGCCGAGAGAAAACCAGTGCTGCATGTTGCCAGCACTTACCTGGAGTGGCTGAAACCCTGAGATGTTCAGAGGGGTTTGTCTGACAGACCCAAAGAGCCTGCATCTTGGCCCACCACTGTGTCCTCTTGAATATAGGCTGATATGCCCAAGGTAGTCCTGAATGGTGTGACAGTGGATTTCCCTTTCCAGCCCTACCCATGTCAACAGGAGTACATGACCAAGGTGCTGGAATGTCTCCAGAAGGTAATGCAACAGAGCTCAAGACATTTCTTCTAGGGGAGGGGACAATAAGGGTGTACCTTCAGCAAACCCCTACACCTCTACCCTCATTCATTCCAGGATTTTTTGGTCTCTAGAGCTTCTGGTTAGGTTAAGGGAAACTATAACAAATGAACAAAAGAGATAATTCCAGATAGTGATAGCTTTGAGAATGTCTTAGTGCCCTTTCTAAGTAGATGGTGTTTGTGTTGAGTTCAGTGGATATCATTTGGGGTCTGGAGCAGTGTTTCTATATAGCAGAGTGGGAATGCCCAGCTCTCACTATGGAAAAAAAATCTTTGAATTTTTTTTCTTTTTCTTTTCTTTTTTTCTTTTTTTTTTTTTTTTTTTTGAGGCAGGGTCTAACTGTTTCACTGCAGTTGTCCCGAATAAGCCAGGCTAGCCTCCAACTCACAGAGATCTTTCTGTCTCTGCCTTTGGAGTGCTGGGAGTAAAGGTGTGTGTCAACTGTGGTTGACTTTTTTGTTTGAGACATGAGAAAAATCTTTAAATTTAGGAGTATGTAAGGCAGATAGCTTTCACTGAGTTTCTTGAGGTGCCCTCTTTTTTTTTTTTTTTTTTTTTTTTTTGGTTTTTTTTTGAGACAGGGTTTCTCTGTGGCTTTGGAGGCTGTCCTGGAACTAGCTCTTGTAGACCAGGCTGGCCTGGAACTCACAGAGATCGGTCTGCCTCTGCCTCCCAAGTGCTGGGATTAAAGGCGTGCGTTCTAATCACCTTTTCCTCAGACATCTTGCTCACGCTCCCATCTGATACCTGGAATATAGGGCATCAAATTCTGTTTAGGTGGAGTGAATGTCTGGACCCAAAATTGCAGAACAGTTTCCTATTTTGAGACTTGACACCTAATTAGTCATCGAACTATTTATATTAGGCTGAAATATACTGTCAGATTTTGGGGTAATACTCTGAAATTGTTTTGCTAATTAGGGCAGTCTTTTTTTGTATGTTTGTTTGTTTTTTGAGACAGGGTTTCATTACATAACCCTGACTGTACTGGAGCTTACTAGGCAGACCAGCCTGGCCTCATACTCACAGAGATCCACTTGCTTCTGCCTCCCCTCTGCCTGGGAGACAGAGGCAAGGTATTAAATGTGTGTACCACCATACCTGGCTAATGAGGCTTAGTGTATGGCAGCTTTTAGGGTAAAAGTGGAAAATGTCATGAACTAATTTATGTCCTTTGGGTGTGTACTGGTTATCCAAGAGCCATCTCACTTCCCCCCCCCCCCCCATTTCTCCATACCCTCCTTGTTGCTGACTCCACTTAGAGAGTGAATGGCATCCTAGAGAGCCCCACAGGCACTGGGAAGACGCTCTGCCTCCTCTGCACTACGCTGGCATGGCGGGAACATCTCCGAGATGCTGTTTCTTCCCAAAAGATTGCTGAGAGAGTTCAAGGTGAACTCTTTGCCAGTCGGTCTTTGTCATCTTGGAATGCTGCTGCTGCAGATGGAGACTCGATAGGTAATTCTTTTTTTTTTTTTTTTTTATTTATTTATGATAGATGCAGTTTGTCTACATGCCACAAGAGGGCACCAGATTGAATTGTAGATGGTTGCGAGCCACCATGTGGTTGCTGGGAATTGAACTCAGGACCTCTGGAAGAGCAGTCAGTGCTCTTAATCTCTGAGCCATCTCTCCAGCCCCCTCGATAGGTAATTCTTATCTCCCCATTCCCACCCCTCATCTCTCCTGACCTCCTATGCAGTTGATAGGGAAGGGCTAGAGCCTGGGACAGGGCCAGCTCACCTAGGCTCCCACTGTCTCTGGAGCAGAATTTAAGAAAGGAGAGTTTTGTATTATTCACATTTCTCACCATTCTGGGTATACACCTGGGGTCAGAGCTTTTTTTTCCCTGGAATTCTGCTACTGCAGCAAACCCACAGTGTCTAGTGTCAGGTTTGTGGATGTCTGCAGGGCTGAGATAGCTCAGTGCTGCATGTATAAACACATGTGAAGACACTGCCTCACAGCTACCCACCCCCCTTTGCTTATGCTTGTGCAGCTTGCTACACAGACATCCCAAAGATCATCTATGCTTCTAGAACTCACTCACAGCTAACTCAGGTCATCGGTGAGCTCCGGAATACTTCCTACCGGTATGTCAGCACATTCACACCCCCAGAGATGATCTGGATAATGATCTTGGTTTGGAGCTGTATCCACAGCCAGCTGAGTGTATGTGTGTGTAGTACGTCAGAGATGAAGACTGGCTGGGTTTTGACATGCATTACATGTGAGAAAGTAGCTTTGAACTTTGAACTTATGGCTGTCCTTGTTCTTGAACTCTGGGCTTCTTGCAGGGCTATCATGTTCCCTGTGGTTAGGGTCAGCTCTGACTCCTTAAGGCAGCTTTGCTCATGATGGAAGAAGAATCTGCCTTTTGCCGCAATCCAACTGAACCCAGATATCTTGCTTGGCTCCCATGTGGAAGAACTTGTACAATAGGTTGCTCTGTCGAGTTTTTCTTGCCTCACTTACCACTTTCTAGCCTTTTTGTTTCCTTTGTTCCCCAAGTTTTCTGTGGGCATCCATTTGTCCCCAGAATACCTCATGCTGCTGGGCCACGTTGTAATCTGCATGTTTTGAGGCAGCTGCTTCTCGACTCCTCCATTCTTTCTTTTGTCAGGCCCAGGGTGTGTGTGCTGGGCTCCCGGGAACAGCTGTGTATTCACCCTGAAGTGAAGAAGCAGGAGAGTAACCACATGCAGGTAGGCTTTGGGGCACTCAGTCTCCATGGTTCCACTGATTGGGTGGTGCTTGGGTCTTAGAATCCGGAATTGTGCTCCAACAGATGCTAATTCTGGCCACTGTGCCTCCCTGCTGGGCTGGGTCAGGGCTTAGAGAACACAGGGAAGATAGACATAGGGAAGCTGCTGGTGAGGGCTGAGGGCCAGGGGTGGACCATTTCTTAGCCATTCCAGGTGAGCATTCTCTTTCCTCTTATAGATCCACTTATGCCGCAAGAAGGTATCGAGTCGCTCCTGTCATTTCTACAACAATGTAGAAGGTGAGACCAGCTTCTTAAAGCTGCTCCTGCTGCTGTTGTCAGAGTTTGGGTGAGGCTTGTGCAGCCTTCTAGAGTTTAGTAGCAACACAACCTATCTGCTTTGCCCTGTGTGGCAGAGTATGGCTATGTACCTGGGTACTGTCTTCTTTTTGACGAGGGGTTGCCTGCACTGGTATTATATGGAGAAGAGCTCAAGAGCTCATGCAGTTCAGGAACCAGCACTCGGGAATGGCTCTCACCATCAGGTGACCTGTCCAGACAGGGTTCATACTGAGTACCTGCTTTCCCTCTGGGAGCCTGGTCGATGCCTGACAGAAGTGGCCTTTGACCAGTCTCCCTAAGAACTAGGACACTGAGTCCCCTATAAGTTGTTCAGTTGACAATATCTCACAGGTGTCATGACTTGCAACTGAGAGTTGAACATATCTATCTTCCCCTAAGTTGGTCCCTTCCCTCTTTCATTAGTGACAAGATAAGCTTTTTTTTTTTAAGATAAGCTTCTTATGATATGTACCTCTTTGCTTTCTGTAACCCGAAGGGTCTTACATCTGCAGAACTGACTGCATGGCTGGGGGCTTCAGCCTCTCCAGGACTAGAGTTCCTTTTATTTCTCCCCTGCTGCTGAGGCTGAGATTCCCACATAAAGTAGGAGGGCTCAGGAGAGGTGTCTTTGGAGCATTTCTAAGGCTTTGATGATCTGAGGGCTTCTGTCCTCCTTGATGTCTATTAAGTGCCCAGGGCACTAGAATTGAGGCCTTTGCATCCGTTGCTGATAGAACCAGAAGCCTGAGTTCAGAGGGAGGGTCTCCCGTCACCCAGCAACTTTGTTCTGAGCTCTTGGAGAAACAAGGTAAAACATGGCTCTGTGGTTAGCACCTCAGCCATTGTCCTTTTTGCTTGCTTTGTTCTTTGATCTGACGTCACTGAAGACTCTTAGTCGTCTCAATATGATTGTCCAGACCTGAGATACTGATGTGAACCCGTGCCAGCCCTCAGGCTTCTGATCTGGGTACTGTGAATCTGGGCCTGGTGACCTGGGAAATTCTCCATGATCAGAGTTGTAATTCCCTGTCCTTGTTAGCTTCTTAGAGGGAGGACCTTCTGGAAGTCCTCAAGCCTCTATGTCAGGGATCTGTTGGAAACAGGAATTCATACATACATACACAACACGAAGCATTTCTGCAGTGGCCTGGTTTTGGGCAGTCCCCACTGCTCCTGTCTCCTGGTGGGAGACTACAAACTACCCTAAATAAGTTCTTCCATGGGTGTTGGGTTGCCTGGGAGATGTTTTGTTTCCTTTCCTTTTCTTTTTTTTCCTTTCTTCCCTCCTTCCTTTCTTCTTTCTCTCTTTTTTTTAATGTATGTGATGTTTTGTTTTCATGTGTGTCTGTGTATCACTTGAGTGCCTGGTGTCTGCAAAGGCCAGAAGAGGGCATTGGATCCTCTGAACTGGAGTTACTGACAGTTGTGAGCCACCATGCAGGTACTGGAAATCAAACTTGGAACCTCTGGATAGAGCCAGTTCTCTTAACTGCTGAGCCATCTGTCCAGCCTCCCCCCTCACCTTTAAAACAGTGTCTGTGTACATGTGTACACATGAGTGTAGGTACCTAGCCAGATGCAGGCATTGCATCCTCTGGAGCTGGAGTTACAGATGGTTGTGAACTGACTGATCCCAGTGGGTACTGGGATCCAAACAGGTTCTTTGCAGTAGCAGCAAATGCTCTTAATCTTCAAACCGTCTTAACAGTTCCTTTCTTTTTCTATTTTGACAGCAACTCAATATAGCTAAAGCTGGCTTTGAACTTGCTTTATAGCCAGGGATGAACTTGAACTTCTGATCTTCTTGTTTCTACCTTCCAAGTACTGGGATTGTAGGCTTGTGCCAGCACCCCTGGCTTGTGCAATGCTGGGATTTAATCCAGTTTTTTCTATACCAGGGAAGAGTTCTACCAACTGAACCCCATCTCCAGCCCTAGAGGGTGTTGTGCCTTCTCCCCTTGTCCATCTCTTTGCTTACAGCCCTCCCGTCTTGTTCAGCCCTTACCTAGTCCACGGCCTGTGTTTGCTTGATTCACCCATTCACTCTGCTTCATCCTGACCGCTTCCATTCACACTCCTGTCAAAGGAGGTGGATGTAAACGCTCCTTTGCATTATGTCAGAGGGTTCTGGTGTAGTTCCTGTAGGAACAGCCCTAGCCAGTTTTCCACACTGTGTAGGTCAGCACATTGATGCCTATAAGCTTTGTGTTCTGCCCTGGCCTTCGCCTGTGTTGTCTTTCCCCTTCACAGGTCCTGAGGGATGAGGGCGTTTTGACTACAGCAATGACCCATGCTATAAACCCCTTCCTTGGGGCTCTATGCTCCTTGCAACATAAAGGAGCCATTCTGCCTGTCTAACAGCTCTGACCTCTGTATCTCCTTCTTAGGCTTCTGGGTTTAGTTTTATGCTCTGTAAACCAATTCATTCTACACTTACCTTTGGTTATCTCACTGCTTGGCCTTTTGGCTGGTTGCTTATCTGTGAATCTGCTTGTCTATTGTGGCAGGCTCTCTTAAGCTGGCCAGTGTTCACTGTCTTTGTAAAGTAGTGTAGGGTTTATTTTATCTTACAGTTTGTAGTACATCATCCAGGGAAGCATGGTAGGAAACTCAAGGCAGGGTAGGAAACTGAAGCAGAGGCTGTGGAGGGGGGCCCCTTATTGGCTTGCCTCCTGTGGCTTGCTTGTCTTGCTTTCTCGTAATAACCAGATCACCAGCCTAGGGGTGACACCACCCACAGTGAGTCGGGCTCTCCCCCAACATCAATCATTAAGAAAATGCAGCCAGGCAGTGGTGGTGCACGCCTTTAATCCCAGCACTCGGGAGGCAGAGGCAGGCGGATCTCTGTGAGTTCGAGGCTGGGCTGGACCGATAGCCTCCGAAACAATACAGAGAAACCCTGTCTTGTAAAAACCAAAAAAAAAAAAAAAAAAAAAAAGAAAATGCAGCAAAGGCTTGTCCTCAGGCTGATCTCGTGGGGGCATTTTCTCAGTTGAGGTTCTCCCTTCCAAATGGCTCTAGCTTGTGTCAAGCTGACATAAAACTAAGCAGCACAGAACGCTCGTGGTGTTGGTGAGAGAGGAACGTGGTAAAGAGCTGGAATGCTGCCTGGTTGCCATCCCAGAAGGCCCTAGGAGGTAGATGGCAAGCCATCTCCACTTAGGAGTCCTTCAGAAATAGTTCTGCAACAACTCTTGTCATCTTTATCCACCTGTGTCTTCTTGCCCTGTCCTCTGCTGTCCCTCTACAGGTATCCCTTCCTCGGCACTGAACAGAAAATATGGCAGACTGGGTCTTTGCTGCAGTGTCAGCTGGGCTGATCTGTCATATGGTACTGCTGAGGGATATGATCTTATTTTCTTACCAGCCCTGCTATTCCTGGGGGCATTTTTTGAGAAGCACCACTGCTTGTGTATGTGCCTGTGTTTTTGCCTCTGCAGCTGAGAGAAGGGCCTTAGTCTGCCCCCAGAGAGGAAGCCTGACATCTGGTTTGGGAATGAAACAGACACATTAGGAAGGAGAGCTGGGAGCTGTGGGGAGGCTCTCTGGGTTTCATATATAGTTGCTCCATAGTTGGCAGTCACTTCCAAAGACATTCTAGTAGTTTCTGGTTGGGGCATTGTGTTATGGCAGGGTAGTCCTTAAGGGCCTTTCTGCCTTGTGCCTTGTAGCCAGCACAGATGGTGCCTGTTTCTGAGCTGCTGTTGTAAGGAATGGAATAGATTACAAGTTGAACTGGGTAGACTCTGCCTGGGTGCCCTGCTATATATATTATTTGAGGTTCCAGCTTTTTCCTTTTGGTGCCAATCTGGGTCCACTGATTGGTAGGAAGCTAGGGTAAGTGGTACTTTTTGGTTTTTACGAGACAGGGTTTCTCTGTATTGTTTTGGAGGCTGTCCTGGAACTCACTCTGTAGACCAGGCTGGCCTTGAACTCACAGAGATCCGCCTGCCTCTGCCTCCCGAGTGCTGGAATTAAAGGCGTACGCCACCAACGTCTGACGCTATTTTTAATGCTCTGAATGATCATGACAAGCTGTGAGTCTGTGGGATGCTCTGCCCTACTCTACCTTAGGAGGCCTTGTGTCCTGTTTTGAGATGGCCAGGGGTATACAGGCTGCTTGGGTCCTTGGGAGATACTGGTACCTGGAGATGGAGTTTCTTTTCTTGCCCTTAGTCCCAAGTAAATGCACAGAGACTTATATTAATTATAAACTGTTTGGCCAGTGGCCCAGCCTTCTTATTGGCTAGCCCTCTCTTAATTATTAACCCATTTCTATTAGTCTAAGTATTTCCACATGGTCTTGGCTTACAGGAGAATGCCCAGGCATTCTACCTTCCGGGTGTCTATATGGCATCTCTCCAGTGGTTCACCCTCTGCCTCCTTGCCCCAGAATTCTCCTTGTCTGGTAGCCTCACCTATATCTCCTGCCTGGCTACTGACCAATCAGTGTTTTATTCATCAACCAATAAGAGAAACATATATACAGAAGGACATCACCCATTATCTCCTCTTTTCTGTCTAAATATAAAAAGAGAGGTTTTAACTTTAACATAGTGAAATTATATATAGCAAAACAGGAATCAAGTAGGAACTATAGTTGACAATATTTAGTCTATTAATAGTTGGTGAAATTTAAAGAAAATACTCTATCTTCTAACCAATCTTTGTGAGTCTACAGTTTTATGTGTAACTTATCTGCTATCATAACTTAAGGGAAACATAGCCATAAATATTTATTGAACTCCATCAAAGACCTCAGAAGGATAATCTATAAACTCTAGAATTGACAGAGATATGGGTACCAGATGCCTTAGACTGGTTCCTGTCTCCCAAGTACAGAGCAGGACTCTCTTGAGATCACTTCAGGTTGTGGTCTCTCCTGGGGACGTGGTCCATTTGGTAAGGATTCATTCTGGTAAGTTCAAAGGTAGTAGAGTGCTGTGTTGCCTGCTTCATAGGAGCTCTTCTGTCTTGGGTGTCTCTTGGGCTCTTGGACACTCAAGTGGACCCTGAGCATGTGTGCTTACTCTATATCTTACCTTCAGAGAAAAGCCTGGAGCAGGAGTTGGCTACCCCCATCCTGGACATTGAGGACCTCGTCAAGAATGGAAGCAAACACAAGTGAGACCTCTCTCTGTGAAGCCATGCCTGTTTTATCCTTCATTGATAGGCTCTCATATGGGAAGCACAATACATTGCTTTTCTTTTTATGAAACTAATAATGTGAAAAATTTTTTACCAGTTTTGAGGGATATAAGGTGAAAATTATGAAATCAGTTCCTGCTCCCTGTCCCTTAGTCCATTCAATTGTAAACAGTGTCTGCATGTACAAGCCCAGTTTTGTTTGTGCTTATTTTCCAAATGTCCTCTGGCTTAGTGTACCATGGATGGCTTTCCTTGTGGGTATATGAAGCTTAGCTCCCTTCCTTCTGAGGATAGTAAATTGTGCGGTCTTGTTTGTTTTATTTTGAGATAGTGTCTCCTATAGCCCATGCTGACTTCCAAGATTTGCTATGTAACTTGAAAATGACCTTGAACTTCTGGTCCCCTTGCCTCTGCCTCCCATGTGCTAGGATCATAGGCGTGCACTGCCAAGCATGCTTATGGCTTTGTAGCTTTGTATATTAAGTGATGATTAAGAAAAACTTCAACAGCCAAAGCTGTATATAGTTCTTGCCTGATTTGTGTGAGGCCCTGGAGTTCCATTCCCATTACTGCAAAAAAGAAAGACAGATTGAGACTTGGTTATACCAAGGGGAGAACAAACTTCCTTCCTTCCTTCTTTCTTTCTCTCTTGTATTTCTTTTTTGTTTTGTTTTTTTTGTTTTAATTTTTATTTTTAAATTTAAATTAGAAACAAGGTTGCTTCACATATCAATTCCAGGTCCCTTTCTCTCCCCTCCTCCCACGCCCTCCCACCAACCCCTCCAATATCCCCTCATTTCCCCAGGGAGAGTGAGGCCCTCCATGGGGGTGTCCATAGTCTGTCTTTTCATCCAGGGCAGGGCCTAGGTGCTCCCCTGGGAGTCCAGGGTGAGAGTGCATCTCACATTGTTGGATGGGCGCCCAAAGTCCATTTGTATACCGGGGATAAATACTGATCTACTACCCAAGGCCCAATAGCTCTCTTGTATTTCTTATGTTTCTATTTTTATTTATTTATTTTATTTCTGGTGACCTGTAACCAGGGATGGGGCTAGATTTTGTTTTTATGGAGGATTTCTTTGTTTTTTTTTTTTTTTTTTTTATTTAGGCTTTGAGCTCACTATGTGACCAATATGACCATGAGCACACACACACACACACACACACACTATTTTTAAATTTTTGTATGTATATGGCATGTGTAAGTGTACACCCTTTGTAGACTCTCTTGTTTATCATTGAGTATAATGACTGGCCTGAGAACTTAGAAGAATTACCCTGTCTGTGTCTCTCATCTCTCTGAGATTACAGTTTCTGGCTTTATATGGATTTTGGGGATCTGAACTTCATTCTTCATGCTTACAGCAAACACTATTCATTGAGCCACTTCCCTAGGCTGCTGACCTTGACCTTCCTGCTGTCAGTTGTTGAGTGTTGAGGTGATGCATGCACCACAGGGGGGTTTACATGGTACTGGGGATTGAACCCAGGGCTTTGTACACGTCAGACAAACATTCTACTAACTCAGTTACATTCTCAGCCCATTATTTGTGTCTGTGTGTGTGTGTGTGTGTGGTCAGTGTGGGTGTCAGAGGACAGTTTTGTAGAGCTCATTCTCTTTTTTCCAACTTTATATAGATTCTAAGATTCGAACTGAGGTTATCAGGTTTGTATGGCAAGTGATTTACTTGCTGAGACATTTTCCTGATCCCATCAAGTTTTGGCTTTTATCAGAGGGCAAATGGCACATGTAGTGGCTGCACCTTTTGCATATCCCCTGTGAAGGGACTTACAGGGTCCTCTGTCTCCTTTTACATCCAGAGTGTGCCCCTACTACCTTTCTCGAAACATGAAGCAGCAAGCTGACATCATCTTTATGCCATACAATTACTTGTTGGATGCTAAGGTGAGGAGTTAATTACTTATGTCTAGGGTTGTCCCTGGGATTTGAGGGGCTGCCTGGGCTTTTGTTTGTTAGGTCCTCAGAGGCCTCTTTTCCATTAATGATTGGGTAGAAGACCTGTCCAGATGCAGCTGTGAACAGTCCAGAGCTCGATAGGCATAGGCAGGCTGACTGGCGTGAGAAGGGCCCAGTGTTTGCTTACTCTTGGTCCTGACTGTTCAGCTCAGTCACTTTCAGATCAGACCACAGGAAGTACAGGTGACTCTGGAAACTTGAGCATTTTTGTTCTTCCTGATATTCTGCATGTTTGTTTGGTCATCTTTTTGTGTACTACTCATTTCATTTAACATAGCTATAATTTTTTTTCTTAAAATTTTTAAATTATGACTGGGCAGTGGTAGTGCACACCTTTAGTCTCAGCACTCAGGAGGCAGCGGCAGGCGGATCTCTGTGAATTCAACGCCAGCCTGGTCTACAGAGTGAGTTCCAGTACAGCCAGGACTGTTACACAGAGAAACCCTGTCTCGAAAAATCAAAAAAGAAAAAAAAAAGTCAGACTTCCAGTGCTTATTTATACTATGTACACATTTGATCTTTATCAAAAAAGGAATATGTAGCTGCAAGTCAATAAAAACTACAAAACAAGGTTTTAAAATGCAAATTGCAGAAAATGAGGAAATGCCCCTGTTTTTCAAAGGACTTAGACCCACAGTGTACAAAGGTCTCAGAATTGAACAGCCCAGCTCACTACTAAGAAACCTGAGTAGAGAGAGACTTTTCCAAAGTTGACAGAATGGTTTCCGCCTATGGAAAGTTGTTCAATAGCTCTAGTGACAAGGACAATTTAGATCCAAACAATAGGAAGTAAATCTGTATTCTGATGGAAATGAATGAAATCAAGGAGGGTTTGGGGACATGAGTCAGTGGTAGAGCACTTGTCTAGCATATGTGAGCCCCTGCAGTCAATCTCACAAGCAGGCTGGTGAGATAATTCAGCTGGTGAAGATGGTTATCACCAAGCAAGTCTGATGACCTGAGTTCAATCCTTGAGACTTACATGGTGGAAGGGGAGAACTCTTACATTGTCCTATGACCTCTTATTACATATGCACTTTCCATCCCCCACAAAGTAAACTAAAAACCAACAAAGCCTTTGAAAGGAAATTAAATTATGAGCTGTAGGGGCATCTGGAAGTCCCAGCTCTGGCTGGTGGTTGAGTAGACCATGTGGTAGCTCTGTCAACATAGTGTGCCATGGCTGCCCTCTAGGGAAATGAAGTCCTTAGTCTAGTGACTTATGCATGCAGTCATTGGAATTTACTTACAACTACCAGAGGTGGGAAGCAGGTCCTGGTATATCCGTATGGTAGAAACTGCCAGCAGTAAGAAGTGAGTAAGCCTTAGACAAACTACCTAACTAAGGCTAGGGAGGAGTAGAATACTGTTTATATAAAACCCACATCTGTCCAAACCTAGCTGTGGTACTGGAGAGAGATGTCTCAGTGGTTAAGACTGCTGGCTCTTATTCTGGAGAACCTGGGTTTAATTTCCCTGAACCCACATGGTATCTCACAACTCTCTTTTACTATAGGTCCAGGGGATCTGATGCCCACCTGGCCTCTGTGAGTATTACATGCATGTAGTTCACAGATGTACATATAGGCAGAACACCCATACACATAAAATAAAAATTTTTTTTCCCAAGGAGATCCTCTTGCTTCTGTCTCCCAAGTGCTGGGATTAAGGGTGTGCACCACCACCACCTGGCTAATAAAAATAAATCTTACAAAACCAACAGAACCCAGATGTGATGCTGGGCATGGTAATGTATTCCTTTGATCTCAGCTCTCTGGAGACCGAGGCAGAAAGACACTAGAGCAAGGCCAGCCCAAGCTTAGTGATAAGCCTGGTTTGGTGCCTATTTCCGTCAGAATGTAACTGTACACTTAATTTGTAGGTTCATTTCTCTTCTATCACCTTGTAGGTTCCAGGGATCGAAATCAGGTCATCAGGCCTTAGAGGCAAGTGCCTTTTCCTGCCCAGCCATCTTACTGGATTACTTGGCCATCCTGTTGACTGTAGCATATACCCCTTTATGCTGTCTGAGCAATTCCCTCAGATGGCCACATGCATCCAACTTAAGTCAGACTTGGATAGATACTTATAATAATACTTTCTCATTGGGACCATCAGCCCACAAATAACACAGAGACTTACTAATTATGAAAGCTTGGCCATAGCTTAGGCTTCTTTCTAACTAGCTCTTGTAATTTAATTAACCTGTTTCTATTAGTCTATGCTCTGTCCCTTGGCTCTGTTACTTTCCTCTATCCCATATGTCAGATATCCCGTTGGTGTTTCCCACACACCTAGATTCATCCCCATCTTCCTCTCTCTCTCTGCCTAGAAGTCCTGCCGATCCTTTCTTGCCTAACTATTGGACATTTTTCTGTTACACCAATCACAGCCATACATCTTCACACAGTGTAAAATATTCCGCAACAGGTACTGTGAATCTGCTTTCCACAGGCAGCTTGGAGCAGGTGCCAATTCTCATAGTGAAGTATGAGAACCTTTGTTCTTTCTTCCATAGTGACTGTGTGACCTGTTTATGATGCTTGGTGCCCACCACATACACACGCCCCAGGTTCCTTCTTTTCCTGTACATGCAGGCCCGCACTCTCAGCTGGCCCTGCCCGACCCAGCTCCAACCCATGGTCCTTTCTCTTTGTAGAGTCGTAAAGCACACAACATTGACCTGAAGGGGACAGTCGTGATCTTTGATGAAGCTCATAATGTGGTGAGTCCCCTTGGCTTCTGTGCTAAGTGTTTCCTGCGTTTCCTAGCTTGCTAGATGTTCTCTGGAGAAGCTCTGCCTTGGATGCAGAGGCCAGGTGCTGCTGGTCCCTGACGGTCTATCCGTTGCCTCACCTGGGTCAGAGACTTGCCAGTTGGGCTTCAGATGTGCCTTAGGTGCAGGGTGTGGGCTTCTCCCCTTGTAGCCAGTTGGTAGGGATACCCTGGCTCTGCTGTCTCTTGTACCATACTCTGTTGTCTTTCCTACCTGTCTCTGCTCTTTAGGCTACTTGGCTTGGCCCTTAGAAAACTTCTGTGTAGACAGCTGCTCATCCTTGGTGGCAATAGCAACAAGAGTGTGCTCCTGGGGGTCCTCCTGGGTCCCTTTGTCTCTTTTCACCATGACATTATCACAGTGAGTCCACCACCCCGGTCTCTGCTGTCACTGCTTACTCGGGATTGTGTGGAATGAACAGCCTCAGTCTTAGCTGCAACAGAGCCTGGGATGAGACTGACAGAGAGCCAGGTCCACCCCACCCCAGGCAGGGCCTCACTTCTTACTTGGCTCCAGGCAACTGTTGCTATGGGAATTATTGAGCTGATATGCTGTATCTTCCTACTTTTGAAGCCCGAGATACTGCTTTTGCTGGTAAATATTCCAATAACAAGATCTTGGCAACACAAGTGAAGTAATCTTGTAAAATAGTGGTGTGGGCAGAGAGCTGTCTTTGGACCAGCTTTGACTTGACTCTGGAGACCAGGAGCTGGGCCTCTGGGGACTTGGCTGTTGTCGTCCAGCCCTTCTTGAGTCTTCACTTCTGCCTCTAGAGCTGTTCAGTCTCACTCTGCTGTAACATGAGTTCACTTTGGCCCTCAGGAGAAGATATGTGAGGAGTCGGCTTCCTTTGACTTGACCCCCCGTGATGTGGCTTCAGGGCTGGAGGCTATTGACCAGGTTTTGGAGGAGCAAGCCCGGGTGGCTCAGAGGGATGAACTCCAACTGGAGTTCAGTGCAGACACCCCCAGCTCAGGTAAGTTTATAGCCAAGAACAAAAAGTAGAGTTTGGGCCTATTAGAGGCATCTTAGAAGTATATTCTGCATTAGAGCAGTGTCTGATCTTCTGGGACCTTTTGTCTGGATAGCACTCTGGGACATGAGTTTGCTGAGAGACTTGGTTCAGGGTTCCTCTTGCTTGACTTCCTGTCTGTTCATCCCAGTTAGGGCACTAATAACCAAAGAAATACTTCTACCCAATCTAGTTTAGTGAGTTCCAGGACAGTCAGGACTACATAGAGACCTTGTCTCAAACAAACAAAAGAATGACAGCTGTCTGTATAACCTTGAGGAGGGAGCTTGTGACTCTTGTACATTTCAGCTTTCTGAGATTTTTAAGTTCTGGTTACTTCCTGAGTCTTATGAACTTCACTCTTCCCTCCTGGGTAGAGTGTTTCAGTTGCAGGAAACTGCTACATAACATCTCTGTAGACCAGGGAGGACTGGCTCATTGGATACTTTCAGTGCTTTTCATTTTCTTTTCTTTGAGACAAGAGTTTCATGTAGCTTAGGCTGGCCTCAAACTTACATAGGAAAGAAAGGATGAACTTTAGCTTTGGGTCCTCTTGCCTTTACCTCCCAGGTACTGAGATTTTAAACTTAGGCTACCATTACTGATTTATTTGGTGCTGGGATCAAACCCAGCACTTTGTGCATACTAGGTAAGCATTCTATCAACTGAGCCCCAACCCAAACTTTTTTGTTTGTTTGTTTGTTTTTGTTTTTTTCAAGACAGGGTTTCTCTGTGGCTTTGGAGGCTTTCCTGGAACTAGCTTTTGTAGACCAGGCTGGCCTCGAACTCAGAGAGGCCTGCCTCTGCCTCCCGAGTGCTGGGATTAAAGTCATGTGCCAGCACTGCCCGGCTCAACCCTAACTCTTCCAGTGCTTCTGAAATCTTTACATCTTTTCCTAGCTACTTTTTTGTTTTGTTTGTTGTTTTTTGAGACAGGGTCTCTCAATGTAGTCTTGGCTGTCCTGGAACTTGTTATGTAGACCAAGCTTGCCCCAGAGATCTGCCTACCCCTGCCTTCTTACTTAGTGGTGGGATTAAAGGCATGCACCACCATACCCAGCCCTGCTTTTAATTTTAAAGCAAAGCACAGGTAAAGAAAATCCACACAAAAAGGTCCGCTATAACTGTTGTGCTTATAACTACAGTGTTACAGAAACAGGGGATCCTGGGAGCTCACTGGCCTGCCAGCCTAGCTAAAACACTGAGTTACAGGTTCAGTGAGAGACCTTGTTTTAAGGGAGTTAAGCTAATGAGCAATGGAAGAAGACAACTGATAGCTTCCTTTGACTTCTGTGTGCACAAGTGCTGATATACATGGACATGTACACAGGCATATATGCATACAGCACACACACACACAAAATAGATTGCATATGAGATACATGATGAGCTGAACACTCAGGGAATTGCTGCCAGTCAGGAAGGGGGTTTGCTATCACAGCCATAGCTCCTCTTCTCTGAGTGGCCTTACCAACCACCTTCTCCTTCCATGGCTGTTTGATGCCTACATTCAGTGATTATCAGTGATTTTCAAGGTGGTGATGTCTCACTCAGCCCTTTAGTTTTGTAGCAGAAATAATTTAAAGATTCTTCAGCTCTGTGGTGACACTGTTCATATTGAAAAGCAGGATCACGCTTAACACACACCACCCATTTCAAATCTGAAAGTTTGAGTTGATTCTCAGTTCATGATGGAGTGTTATCTTCAGAAGAGGAACAGTGTTTGAATAGCTTGTCTGAATGTTGTTTTTCTCCTTGTCATAACAAAATACATACTCAAATCAGCTTAAGGAAGGAAGGATTATCTTGGTTCACATTCTCAGGGTATAATCCACCCTAACTGGGACTTGGTGGTGGCAAGGGCTTGAGTAGCTAGTGTATTTATAATCAGGAAACAAAGGTGAGGGGAGGAGAGAGAAAAAGAAAGGGAAGGGAATGAGAGGAAAGAGAGAGCAAGAGAGATACTGCTGAGCTCACTTTGTGTGTGTGTGTATGTGTGTGTGTGTCAGGGTCTCTCTATGTAGCCTGGCTATACTGGATCTTTATGTAGACCAGCCCAGCCTGGAACTTACAGAAATCCACCTGCCTCCTAGGTGTGTACCACCATACCCTGCTTTTTTCTTTTTCCTTTTTTTTTTTTTTTTTGGTTGTGAGCCTAGCCTTTAAAGGCTGAGCCATCTCTCCAGCCATTTTCTTTTTTTTTTTTTAACTTCTGTCACCTTTTCCTTTTTATTCAGTCCAGAACTTTAGCCCATGGAATGGCTCCGCTCATATTTAGGGTAGGCCTTACCATTTCAGTTAACCCAACCTAGAAACGCTTTCATGAACAGACATGACCAGAGATTTGGTCCTAGCTTATTCTAGAGATTATCAGGTTGACAATATTAACTAATATTAACCATTACTCATGTGTTTAACTATCTGTGGTTGGTACAGCCCATCATCTGTCTTAGTGCTGAGGCTCAGTATCCCACTGAAATCCTCTTGAAGGTCACCTCTGTGTCCTGCTGACCTGACCTAGGTGTCATTGACAACTTATTTGCTGCTGTGCTTGTGACACTCTTCTGCTTCCTGTCCAGACCTGATACAAGCTAGCCTTCAGCAAGCTCTGGTTTCCCTTCAGATATTTTACTCTCTGTCCTCTGACCTCAGATGTCCTGTCTGAGCCTATGTGGGCACATGCTTGATGGCCACTGGCCATTAATTATTTTGAGGTCTTTTGGGAGCAGAGTATGAAGAACTTGTATGTGCATGGATGTATTTATGTGTGTTCCTAAGGGTGAACATGGGCTCATACTGTTGTATCCAATTCAAATGTGAATCTCACATAACCTCCTACCCACCTACCCTTTCTACCACACTGGGATCCCTGGTCCTTGACGCTACAGACAGTGTAGAAAGAGGTGTAATTGTGTACATACTTTTTTCACCCAGGGCTCAGCATGGAGCTAGAGGACATCGCAAAGCTGAAGAGTAAGTGTTTCTTTCCTTCCCCTTGGGCTTGGTGGGAGGCATGCCCCTAACATGCCCTTGATTCACAGTGATCCTGCTTCGCCTGGAGGGGGCTATTGATGCTGTCCAGCTGCCTGGGGATGACAGAGGAGTCACCAAACCTGGAAGGTGAGGTACAGGTGCTGAGCTCTTTACCCCAAGTCCTGTCTAGGGTTGGAGATAATGTCCTTGAAAAGTTCTGTTTGAGCACGTCACCCAGTAGTGAGGTCTGTTTTCAATTTTCAAGGCTTAAGATCTACCAGATTTTTTTTTAAAGATTTATTTTATTATGTATACAGTGTTCTGCCTGTATGTAACCCTGCAGGTCAGAAGAGGGCACCAGATTTCATTATGGATGGTTGGGAGCCATCATGTGGTTGCTGGGAATTGAACTCAGGACCTCTGGAAGAGCAGCCAGTGCTCTTAACCTCTGAGCCATCTCTCCAGCCCTCTACCAGATTTTTAAAAATCATACACACACACACACACACACACACACACACACACACACACACACACACACACACACACACACACTGGGGGGGGGTTGTGTAAATGTATACCATGTATGCTGGTACCTGTATAGTTTGGAAGAGGGTGTTGAATGTCCTGGATCTAGAGTTACAGACAGTTATGAGTTACCCTATATAGGTCTGGAAACCAAATTTAGGTCCTCTGGAAAAGGAGCAAGCACTCTTAACCACCAAGTGATCTCTCCAAGCCAGTTGCCAGCTTTTTATGTAATCATTGAAAACATTGGGAGTAACAGCATACACTATTATACAGTGTCTCCTCCAGCTTTTTCCTCCCAACTTTCTCTGGCCCCTTGTTGATGCAGCAAGTTCCAATTAGAACTAAACTTTCTCTTTGGGACCATCACTGATGCCTTTTTAGGGCTCTTAGATTGTTTCATAGTCTGGTTTTTTTTTTGTTGTTGTTGTTGTTTCAACTATAGGTAGGCTGGTTTGAAGACTGACAAGGGATTGTGGCTGGGGCTGAGGGGCTGCTCTTATGGGCATACAACCAGTAGCTATGTTACGCCCTGGTCTGGGCTTATGGAGGATAAAGCATTTTCTGGGGTCTTGGGTTTCCTACCTTCTTGCTGAACCATTTTGTTCCTCTGAGTGCTAAGCTTTGTAGGTACTCCCAGTTACTTCCAGATAAGCCAGATAGACCAACCTGACCTGAGTTGTAGTGTGCTTTCTTGGTCTTTTCTACCTGTACCTGAAGATCCTGCCACAACCTCCCGACTTTTGTGCTTCTGTTACCTCCTTCCCATCTCTTTCCAAGGCTCTTAGAGTTGCTACCCAGAGTCATCACCTCCAAAGACCTGCACTCAGGCCACCCTGTTGTGGTCCCTTTCCCAGGTGCCTGGTCTTTTCCTTGGTAGGTAGTGATTCTCATGACAGTAACCCTCTGTCCTCTGACTACCAGGAGACCACTAAAGGGAGAAGCCTCTTATCTCCAGTGTTGGCCTCATTGAGGTTCTCAGAAGTTATTTCTGAGTGCAAGAAATTTAAAGGGCACCCACTTGTAGGCTCCCTGAAACCACAGCCCCACAGCCTCGTGTCCTCAGTCTCAAGCTTCTGCTCTCCTCTTTGGCAGCTACATCTTCGAGCTGTTTGCTGAAGCCCAAATAACATTTCAAACCAAAGGCTGCATTTTGGAATCACTGGACCAGATAATCCAGCACCTGGCAGGACGTGAGTCTTGGTTGCCTGTGTGGAGCATGCCATGCTCTCGGTTTTGATGTAGATGAAGTAGATGAACAGGGCGGGGTTATTGTTCCGTGTCCAGCACTGAGCACAAGTTGTAGAGTGGCACTTGACCACCAGTGTCAGCAGGTTGCTCTCACACCTTCCTCATGATCAAGAATCTAGTCAACAAAGCTCCCCAACCAACCCACCCTTCAGGCTTGTTTATTTTTGGGTAGTACTGGAGGTTGAACCCAGGATCTCATTCATGGTAGGCAAGTGCTCTACCATTGAGCCATATCCCTAACCCTTGGTTTTCTGGGACAAGTTCTTACTGTGTGTCTCAGACTGCAGACTGGCTTTGAAGTTTATCCCCTTGCCTTTATCTCTAGAGTGCTAAGATTACAGGGTTGGCCACTGTGCCCAGATAGCTTCCTCTTTCTGATTGAGACTTGAGGTAATGACATTTGGCCAACCATTATAATCTTTTGTAGCTTTCCTGTTTGTGGTTTTTTTGTTTTAAGATTTATGTATTTATTATGTATACGATGTTCTGCCTCCATGCCAGATGAGGGCCCCAAATCTCATTATAGATCATTGTGAGCCACCATGTGGTTGCTGGGAATTGAACTCAGGATCTCTGGAAAAGCAGTCAGTGCTCTTAACCTCTGAGTCATCTCTCCAGCCCCGTTTGTGGTTTTTTATTATGGTCCCTTTTTATGCCTTAGTGGATTTAGTGAGATGTAGACCTCTCTGGCTTCTCCCCCTTGCTACCGGACCTGATTTCTGCTTAGGCTGGGAAATCTAGTTTCCAAAGGGCAGTGTTCTTAAGGGTTGTTCTGCTAAGTGGGTGAGGTCTGCAGTTCCACATACAGCATTATCTGCTATGCACTGGGGGATAACAGCCACCCTCCACCTACCATTTGACTACAGAGTTACTTTGGAAGCCTGTACTCCTTTGGGGAGATTCCCCATCAGACTGCTTCTTAACACCACACCAGGAAGAACAGGTCATCTGTCCTTCCTTAGCACATCCCGTCTCTAATATTTGGTTATGGGGAGTCTGGTTGGTTCAGCAGATGTGTGATAGAGCTTGAAAATGGATTTGTGTTGGCCCCTTGTAATGTGGGCTTCAACATCTCTTCTGCTTGTGTGGATGTCAGCTCCTTGATGCTCCACAGGTACTGGTGTGTTCACCAACACGGTCGGGTTGCAGAAGCTCATGGACATTATCCAGGTAAGAGACTGCTTTTAAATATTGGGGTGTCTCTGTTTCTGGAAGTGGCAGCAAGGGCGTCAGGGAATGGACAAAGATCCTTATATTATCTATAGTTAACAAACCCTTAAGCACCTTACTTTCTCTTGAATGCAATGTAGGCTCAGTGGGAGGTGACAGGGGACAGATCTGGACATTTCTGACTATTCAGTGACCAGATACATCCATAGGTGTTTTGGGACCAAGGTCCTGTAAAGAGTGAAGTCAGGAGCTATTAGAGCCCATTTGGGGCTGGGCAGGATCTCCTTGTTCATAGCAGCTCCAGATAGATTCAGATCAGGAGAAATGGGCCCTATAAGTGCCATCCATAGTCTGTGTGTCCCTAGCAGAGGGAGGGATGGCTATGGAGCCACTGTCAAAGACAAAGGTGGGACTGTGGAGCCCTGACAGAGAAGCATGTGAATTCTTACCTAAACCTCTTTATGCCTCTTCCTGCTTGTCACTGCTGTTTTTATGCCTTCCCTCCTAGTCTGTGTGACATGCAGTTGTCCTTGGGTAGTGCAAATGTCTTAGTGCAACTATGTCCTCAACTCTAGTGAGCCAGCCAGTCCTGACCATATAGTTGAGGGTAGGTCTGGTGTTGGGCACTTTGGGCATCTTCAATATGCTAAGCCTTGCTAAGTTTGTTGTTGTTGTTGTTTTTGTTTTTTTGAGACAGGCTTTCTATGTGTAGCTCTGACTGTCCTGGAACTCACTCTGTAGACTAGGCTGGCCTTGAAGTCACAGAGATCCAACTGCCTCTGCTTCCTGAGGGCTAGGATTAAAGGTGTGCACCTGCACTCTTTTTTTTTTTTCTTGGTTTTATGAGACAGGGTTTCTCTGTATTGTTTTGGAGGCTGTCGGTCCAGCCTGGCCTCGAACTCACAGAGATCCGCCTGCCTCTGCCTCCCAAGTGCTGGGATTAAAGGCATGTACCACCACTGCCCGGCTTCTTCTTCTTTTTTCTTTTTAATCATTTTTTATGTTAGTGAATTATTTTTGTCTGTATTCATGTATGTATACCACATGTGTGCCTAGTGTCCATGGTTGACAGGAGAGGAGGTTGCTGGGAATCAAACTTGAAAGAAAGAAGAGTCAGTGCTTTTAACTGCCGAGCCATCCTTCTAGCACACCCCCTACCCTGATAAGTTTTCATAGCACATCTTAGATCCCTAGCTGTGAGCCAGGTATAGGGGTGCTCACCTTTAAGACCAGCACTTGAGAGGTAGAGGTAAGCAGATCTCTTGAGTTCAAGGGCAGCCTGGTCTGCATAGTATGTTCTATGTTAGCCAGTGTTACATAGTGAGACCCTGTCTGTTTTTGCTTGGGGTAGGGTGTTTGTTTGTTTCATTTTAAAGGCAGACACAGATACATCCTGAGAAAACGTGGGGCCCTGTTTACCCAGGCCAAGTGAGAAGCTGGTCCTACCTGGTGCTACTAGGGGTGCAAAGATGGGCACAATGGTTGCCTGCATACAATGGGTGGAACACAGTGCCTGGGGGGGTCCTTACACAGGCTGTGAGGGACTTCTACTCACAGCAGACTCCTGGGATGAGAGTTTGGGGTTGTCAGTTTAGCTGGAGGTGATCAGGGAAGCACAGTGAAGGGGGTTCTGCCTGTTAAGGAAGGCCAGAGCCAGTGGCAAGCTACCTTTACAAAGTAGGCGGTCCATGCAAAGAGAGGTCCTCTTGAGGGAAGTCAGAACCATGTGTAACGCTTCCACTTGTCCCGTGTGTGTCTCCTTTACTTCTGTTACCCTGTGGGTGGCTCTTCTTTGATACGGCTGTGCTTCTCACTGATTTGGAGCCTTTGTAAATCCTGTGTGTTCTTAGACGATGAACATATCTTATTACCTTCTACCTGCCTTTTCTGCCTTTTGGTAGGCTCGATGAGGTTTTCTTGCTGCCAAAGGCTTTGTGGTACTGGCTTATGCTGCCTAACTCATGCCTGGTTTCCTTTGGTTTTTGAAGTCATCTGTAGAATTGTGTGGGTTTGTACAGGGACTGAGCATTTGTCCACCATTTCTTATAAAGGGTATGGGAGGCAGGTGTCTACTTTTATCTGGCTCTTTCACTTTTTGATCTCTTGCTGCTGTTGTCATATTGCTTTACTATTTACTCTCTTCTATGGTTTTGGTAAGTTCTGATACTGGCTAGAATAGATTCATTTTTGTTCTCATAAATTGTCTTGGCATTTCCCCTGTCAACTATTCCTGGACTTTAGGAACCCTGTCACAATCTTAACTTGAATGTTGAGTTTCTAGATTAATCTGGAGTACTAAGAGGTACTGAAGGAAGAGTAAATTGAGTTAGTCAAGTAAGGGCTGTCTAGGCTTCTTTATTCCTGATATGTTTAGGTAGCTCCCAGTGGGATAAGCCCAAGACAGCCCTGGAGCCATTTGGAGTGGGAGACAGCAGAGAGAAGTAACTTCCCCTCAGCCTGGATATGCAGTCTTGTTTCATGGTTGGGTAGATAAGGTCACTGAACTGAGTAGAGGGCTGACTTAGAGAAAGATGACTAGCCTTGGGCTCTTGTATGCTGGACTAAGGGGCCTTAGTTTCCATCTCACCATGAAAATACTTGTTTATCTCAGCTTGAAGGTACTTGTGTTCTCAACTCAGGCTCCTAATCCTTTTGCTGTGCTATCTTGCCTTTCAGATCGTGTTCAGTGTAGATCCTCCTGAAGGCAGCCATGGATCTCTCGTGGGGCTGGGTATCTCAGATTCCTATAAGGTAAGAGCAGCTTCCAGGATGTGGGCTAGTATAGAGTTTCACAGACCTGTGGGGGAGTTGTTCTAGGACTTGGGCAGGCATATATATATATGTTTGTCCTTCCAGGTACACATACACCCTGAAACCAGCCACCGGAGGGCAGCTCAGAGGTCAGATGCCTGGAACGCCTCTACATCTAGGAAACAAGGTACAAACCTGCCCTGCAGGAAATTTTCTATCCTGCCCAACCTTTGCATAATAGTACCATCATACCTGGCGTCATGCACACTTATGCCCACTGAAAGCCAAAGAATGTGGAGGAAGCTAGAAAAACTGTTATCTATCCAGAATCACCTATGAGGCAGTGGCAGAACCAGAGCTCTGCAAGGCCTCCCCTCCCAGACTTAGGGCACACTTCTTTGAAATTTATTATTTGTTTGTTTGTTTTGAGACTGAGTTTCTCTGTATAGCCCTGGCTGGCCTTGAACTCAGAGATCCACTTGCCTTTGTCTCCCAAGTGCTGGGATTAAAGACCTGTGCCACCCCCACCCTGTTTTAGCACTGGGATCTTGACTGCAGTCTGCCTCATCTACCTTGCATGGTAGTGTGCCCTGGCAATGAGTCTGGCCTTTCAGATGTGCCTTGTGGTAACCACTGACTTAGATAACACTCAGCCTACGCGTCAGGTTCGCTTTTCATCAAGGCTGCATCCAGCGCCAGCTCCCACGTCTCTCTCATTCTCCAGTGATGCCTTGAGCTTCTGTTCAGATCTCTCCTTTTGTGGACCACTTTTTCTTGGGCTGCCTTGTTTTGTTTTGTTTTTTTCCAAGACAGGGCCTCACTATTTATCTCTGGCTGTCTTGGAACTCACTGTGTAGACCAGGCTGGCCTTGAACTCACAGAGATCTGCTCACCTCTGCCTCCCAACTGCATGCCACTATATCCTGAGGCTGCTTTGTAGTTTACAGATTACAGCCTCAGCCTCAGCCTCAGCAGTCCAATGGAGCTTGTGTGGATGCTGTTGTTCAAGTTATTGTGGCCTAGAGGGAGGAAAGAGTTAGAGGTGTGGCATGTTTAGCAAGAGCTGTGGTGTGGTTCTGCCCCCAGGGGCCTCCCTGCTGTATAAAATACCCTCCCAAGCAAAAAGTGTCCTTCATGGTAGTGACAACTTGGGAGGTTGGTGGGTATTCAGGTACTGAGGAGTGATTTCTCAAAAGTTGTCTTCCCTGGAGGAAGGAGCTTATTGAGATTGTTGACAGCCTCAAATTCAAGCAAGGCAGATTTTGACCCAGGATGGAAATGGTCTCTGAACGCACCTGGCTTTGCCTTCAGTGATGTTTAAGTTATGGTGTTTTAGGTTTTGGACCTTCCAGAGATCAATGGGAATGAGCAGTATGATTCTAGTCAGTGAGATATTGCTTGGAGCTGTGCTTCCTTCTGAATCAGCAACCTTGGCTGCTGTTGATATGACCAGGGTCTGGGAATTTGATTCCCTTTTTAGCAGTTATGCTTGAAATGTCAGGAGTTTGGATGCTTATTCCTTCTGTGTGCTTTTGGCAGAGTAACTCCAGGTCCAGTGTCACATGTCATGGTTTCTACAGAAGTTTATGGTTGGGGCCATATGTCTTCTTTGTATCTGCCAGTATCCTGGGTCAACCTCTTTCTTGCTCTCTGGATCCCTGAGAAGGGGTGGTCTCAGGTCCCATCTCACACCTTGCCTTTTGTCCTGATATGTGTACCTGGGCCTATGTAAGGATGGTGGACCACTGTCCTGTCTTCATACCCAATTCTTCTGCAGGGAAGGTGCTGAGCTACTGGTGCTTCAGTCCCAGCCACAGCATGCGTGAACTGGTCTGTCAAGGAGTCCGCACTCTTATCCTCACCAGTGGCACACTGGCTCCGCTATCTTCCTTCGCTCTGGAGATGCAGATGTATGAACCACCTCTGGCTAGAAGTCAAAACACTAGGAAGATGCTGGATGGGGGTGGGGTGCTGTCCCAAAGGGTCTCAGACCTCAGGTGTATTCATTATTTATTTCCTTTGGCCATCCCCAGCCCATTTCCAGTCTGTCTGGAGAACCCACACATCATTGACAGGAACCAGCTCTGGGTGGGGGTTATCCCCAGAGGCCCTGATGGTGTCCAGCTGAGCTCTGCCTATGACAAAAGGTAAGGGGTCCTGGTTTGGGCCTTTCTGCAGTGTTGTAGATTGCTGAGATCCAAGCTTCTCATGGCAGCAGCCTCTAATTGTACAGGTTTTCTGAGGAGTGCTTATCTTCCTTGGGGAAGGCCCTGGGTAAGTACACAAGATTCTTTGTTCCTTCCTTAGGCAACCCCTGTTCATAACTGGTCCGGTCTTAGACCCTCTACCCTACTTTATCCCATGGCGGTTAGGGGCCTGGTACTCCCCAGTTTCCATTCCTGAGAACCAACAGGGCCCTCAGCAGTCTTCTAGGCCTCGCCTGGACCACAGCTATGGCACTTACAGGCAATATCGCTCGCGTGGTACCTCATGGGCTTCTGGTCTTCTTCCCTTCCTACCCTGTCATGGAGAAAAGCCTGGAGTTCTGGCGGGTGCGTTCCTCTACATACACTCCTGAGAGATGGAGCTCCCAGTGTCATTAGAAGTCCGGGCAAGGTGGTTGGGCAGAGCTATGAAACAGGGCTGTGGCGACAGCCCTTACCTGTCCACTCACATCCTGGCTTTCTCCTCGCTCAGGCGCAAGACTTGGCCAAGAGAGTGGAGACGCTGAAACCTCTGTTTGTGGAACCCAGGAACAAAGGCAGCTTCTCAGAGGTCTGTAACAAACTACACTTCAGGTGGTAACTCTACAATCCCTCATAGCTGACCACTGTGTGTGACCAGACACTCTGGTTTGGTTCCAGACCGCCTGTTCTGGGCTGTGTGCTTACTTCCAAGTGTGTCACCTTTTAGAAAACCCCTGACATGGTGTGGCATGTAGATAATGGCAGCTTATCTTCTTGCCTGTGTCTTTGGGACCCAGCAGCTGCCCTGACTGTGGGGTTCCGTGTTTTCTGGAAACACTGGGCAGGCTCTGGGTGTTGGGTGTGTCTCTGCTGGTAATGGGATCATGAATATGCTTTCAGAACCTTGGTGTCCCACCCAGCTGAGACCATTCTTCATCTCAGATAATAACATTTGGGTGTCACTTGAGAAGGGCAGGAAACTAAACCCGACTGACCATCCTTCTCATCTAGGTCATTGATGCCTATTACCAGCGAGTTGCTTCACCTGGGTCTAATGGGGCCACCTTCTTAGCTGTGTGCCGGGGAAAGGTGAGGTCTCTGCAGGTCATCTTCATTCTTAGTTTTCCTTACATTGGATGCAACAAGGCTCCTGCTTTGGGTCCTACAACCAGCAGGTAAATTAGTAAGGAGCCATGCCAGGGTCAAAGTTAGGTAGGAGGTTCTGAATGTTGTAGAATTGACATGGGCCCAGCTGTGGACCTGATAGAACTTCCTTGCATCCCTGCAATACCTGGGATAGGTGGCTGAAAGGGTTAGGGCATGGGTAGACCACAAACTGGGGTGGAGACGGACAGGGGAGAGGAGTGCCTATTTCTTATGTTCTAGGCCAGTGAAGGGCTGGACTTCTCAGACATGAACGGTCGAGGTGTGATTGTCACCGGCCTCCCATATCCCCCACGAATGGATCCCCGTGTTGTCCTCAAGATGCAGTTCTTGGATGAGTTGAGAGGCCGGAGTGGGGCTAGAGGTCAGGTGAGACACCACAGAGTTGAGTGAGCAGGGAACTTTGTGGACCAAGGGCCCTAATAACCAAAATTCATTCCTCTTTAGTATCTCTCAGGGCAGGAGTGGTACCAGCAGCAGGCATCCAGGGCTGTGAACCAGGCTATTGGGAGGGTTATCCGACACCGCCATGACTATGGGGCCATCTTCCTATGTGACCACAGGTACAGGATGCTCTGTGACCATCTGCATTTCTTTCTACTTTCTAGACCCTGGACCCTCTTCTGCCTGTTCAATACCTATAGCAACCTTTCTTGCCCTACCAACAGTTACTATTCCTTCACTTTGAGGCTTGAATGTAGTGCTGTAGGGCAGGGATGGCCATTAGTCTTTGTGGTAGAGGACTTGAGCTGATAGTCACATATTCACCATGCAGGTTCGCCTATGCTGATACCAGGGCCCAGCTGCCCTCCTGGGTGCGCCCCTACCTCAAGGTGTATGACAACTTTGGCCACGTCATCCGAGATGTATCCCAGTTCTTCCGTGTTGCTCAGAAAACTGTGAGCTCCAACTGCCCGGTTGATTTGCCTGTCCCATGGAAAGGCTGGAGTCCCTTCTCTGAGGAGCAATTGATGCAAGCCTCCTCACCATATAATTCTACAGATGCCTTTGCCAGTTCCCCAGGCTGTGACCTCAGGTGTAAGTGAGAGAGAAGCTGCTTTCAAGGAAGCTACATTGTCCAACCCTCTCCTCTCCACCCAGAAAGCCATGAGCTTGGATGTACATGTGCCCAGCCTGAGGAAGAGGCCCACAGGTGTGTAGGGTTGGGTACAAACCACATGAAACAGAGACAGTATCCTTGCTTACTGGTAAGCTTTCCTCTCAACACATTTCTTCAGGAGTATCAGCTTCTGGAGACTCTGAGAGCAGCCTGTGTGTGGAGTATGAGCAGCAGCCAGTTTCTGCCCAGCCGAGGCCTGTGGGGCTGCTAGCCGCCTTAGAGTACAACGAGCAGAAGGCCGGGGCATCTGAGGAGCAGGTGTGAGGGAGGGCGAGGGTGTCGGGCATGAACATGGACACTTTCCAGCACACAGGTGGGCAAGTGAGAGATTCCAGCACCTCCACTGTACCATGACTCATCCTCAGGCCCTGGCTCCCATGATGCTACCACCATGTCTTTGGTGGGTCACTCTGACACAGGTCACTCAAAATCTAGAACATCCTGCCCCCTGCTTTGCTCCAGATTGGCCTTTCTTCCAGTTTATGTTGTGTGAATGGAATCTTGAGTTCCTTTTCCTCAGAGGCCATTGCCCAAAAGCCTGTAAGTTCCTAGGTCTCTCTTGGAGCTCCTTCCCTCTATTCCTGCTCTGACAATCAGTTACCACAACCTAACCTTTGGCTCACTGCTGCCTGCAAATAACAAGGGCAAACGACATGACACAGAAGGGACAGAGTCTCAGCCTTGCCACCAGGGTTAGGGCATGATACCCTCCCCCTTCAGCCCTACATTCAGGACACAAGTAAGGATCCTGGGGACCCAAAAGGATATCACAGGCACTTTGGGAATTCTGGGTTTGGGTTAGTACCACAGCTGTATTTCCCTCAGGCACTCGGCTCCTCCCCCCTATCTCTCCGGTATGAGAAGAGGCCATCTGTTGAACAGAGAGGAGGAAGGAGGAAGGTCAGGCTGGTCAGCCATCCGGTATGTTAGCCACCCTTGGAGCTAAGCTAGCTACTTGTGGGCATGTATGGGAACCTTGCCTTCAGTACCTATTGCCCCTGACCAAGCAGGGGTGTGGTTAGGTTTGAATAACTTGATGTTGACTACCAGGGGCTCTAATTTGCCATTCTTTCTCCAAGAGGACAGCCCCTGTAACGAGATTCTTCCCGCCAGCCTGGTCCCAGAGTCACGTCAACCCCAATTAACACACATAGACTCTTAGTTACAATGCTGTCTGTCGGCCAATGTCCAGGGCTTCTCATTGGCTACTTCTGTCTTAAGTATTAACCCATGACTACTACATAATATATAAGGTCTTATCTTTCCAGGATTACATAGTGACTTCCTACCCTTGACTACATTTCCCAGAATCCTCCTCGACTCCTAGTCCCACCTATCTTGCTTCCCTATTGGCCAACAGTGCTTTATTTAATCAACCAGTAAGACAAACATATACACAGGACTTCCTCCATCAAACTCTTTCTTCCCCCCATGATCTTTAGTTTTCAGAGAGGTCACAAAAAGGCTGGCCTTGAACTCACTATGTAACCAAGAATGACTTTTAACTCCTGATCCTCCTGCCTCTGCTTCCCAAGTGCTGGGATTACAGGCATGTGCTACCATGCTCACCCTGCCAAGAGACTCTTCTTTTCCAGCCCTGCTCAAGAGATCTTTTTTTCTGTTAGAATCTGGCCTGACTATTTGAATTGGGGTTTATAACTGGTTGTGGTTTCCTCCACCATCATGAGCAGAATGGCCCTGAGTATGGGCACTGAATTAATTATCTATATGAGGAGGTACAATGTATTCCTAGTTTCAGATGAAAAGTTGAGTCACAGCCTGAGCCATTAACCCCCTGCCTGCTGTAAAGCCCCAAGTGTGGTGGCTTTATCATGCTTGTGAGAAGAGTCAGTGCCCAGGAGGGCTGATGCATCAGAAAGCAGACTAGCTGTGGAGGGCCTGAGCCTACTGGAAATGGTAGGAGTGGGAGCTGCCTTGATTTACGTAGTTCTGTATAGGTCTGAGATGTACAGAACTAAGGTTGAACCTGTTGAGAAGTGTCTCCTCTACAGCTGTATCTGCTGTGGGGCAGTAACCACATAGGCTCCCTATAGATTTCTGGCTGCCTTTGGTGTGGTCTCAGACAGGCCTAAGCTTCACCACACACCAGAACTGGACCTTGTTTCTCCAGAAACACTCTCTGCTTTTTGTCCCGGTAGATGGTTCACAGGCAGTGAACCATTATCCCCTGGCCCTAGGCTCTGTACTGCCTCCAAGGCAGGAGGGAAGGGCTGACTCTGATAGGGTTCTTTTTTTTTTTTTTTAAACATCTTTTTAAAGATTTATTTATTATGTATACAGTGTTCTGTCTGCATGCATGCCTGCAGGCCAGAAGAGGGCACCAGATCTCATTACAGATGGTTGAGAGCCACCATGTGGTTGCTGGGAATTGAACTCAGGTCCTCTGGAAGAGCAGTCAGTGCTCTTAACCTCTGAGCCATCTCTCCAGCCCCTCTGATAGGGTTCTTGATCATGTCTTGCAGGAGGAACCAGTGGCTGGCACACAAGAAAACAAAGCCAAGCTGTTCATGGTAGCAGTGAAGCAAGCATTGAGCCAAGCCAACTTCGACACCTTTACGCAGGCCCTGCAGCAGTATAAGGGCTCTGATGACTTTGAAGCCCTAGTGGCTTCTCTCACCTGCCTCTTTGCTGAAGACCCCAAGAAGCACACTCTATTTAAAGGTGCCCTGACCTTCAAAATGCTGCTGTAGGGATAACACCACAGTGGTGGGGTGGGACTGGTTAGGAGGGCTACTAGGGCCCAAGGGTGTCTCTGCTTTCCAGAGAAAGGGCTTGGTGGGTAGGCCATGGTCCACAGAGGCCCTAGCCCATCAGCAGTGTATGGAGCCCGTAGACTCAGACATCTACTCCCCACAGGCTTCTACCAGTTTGTACGACCCCACCACAAGCAGCAGTTTGAAGACATCTGCTTCCAGCTAACAGGCCAAGGCTGTGGCCACCAAGCAGGAGGCCTCCCTTTCCAAGAACAAGCACAGTCAGCTGCGGACTCCACCTGTGAGCAAAACCCTAGGCTAGACCCTTAATTTCACATTTGAAAGGCAGTTTACACCTGAGATGGGCATAGCAAGCTAATCCCTGTCTCTGTTGCCCAAGGATAGCCCAGTTTGTTGGATGAACTCAGTCTCCTAGCCTAGGCATCCAAGAGACCTGCCACTGGGGAATTCATGCTAGAGTCATGGCTGCTGGGGACCTGTCATACTTCTGTCCTAATACCTAAGCTCCACAGAGGCAGTACCTGTTCAGTGCTTGATACAGGGCAGATGTGGCAGAGGGACTTCACCAATTGGGAGAATTCACCCTTTGGGCTTGGTACTCATTGAGGTTCCTACTGTACTTATGCTCCTGAGTGGGACCCATTGTCTGGGCCCTCCAAGTCAGTTGGGTGTGTCTGTGACATGTGCTTGTTATCAGGGTCACCTTCCTGTCTGAGGATTATGAGGTCTAGTCTCAGAGGAGCATGTTCCTAAACTGACCTTTTCTGAAGGTGTAGGTAGACAGCTGGATACTGGAGAGCACCTGAACCGAGGGAGGCCTCACCTGTCTGCCCATCAGCCACCTAAAGGTACTTGGCTTCTAAAGACCCCAGGTGGGACTTAAAAATCCTTGAAGAGTCATGTTGAACTGCTTGATTCTGAACCTTATTTGTCCTGAGCAGCTGACAGACTCTATAGGGGTATCTGGAAGAAGTGGAGTGAGGAGGTAGTCCCAAACCATTAGACCCCCAGTAACATCTCTCCTCCAGGAGACCCCAGCAGTTGTCCAAAAGTGGGATGTACAGCAGAAAAACCTGGCCAGGCTGCTGTGAGTGCCTACCTGTCTGATGTCCGCAAGGCTCTGGGATCTACAGGCTGCAGCCAGCTTATGACAGCTCTGAGGGCATACAAACAGGACGATGACCTGGACAAGGCACTGGCTGTGGTGGCAGCACTGACCACTGCAAAACCTGAACACTTATCCCTGTTACAGAGTATGTAGGGCATAGGTTCTGGGGAAAGGGCAGTGTGGGGGCTGCATGTGATCATGCAGAGCCTGAGCAAAAGTACCCCACAGGGTTTGGCATGTTTGTGCGTCACCACCACAAGCCTCACTTCCTGCAGACATGTGCAGACCTGATGGGCCTGCCTACCACAAGCGGGGGCTTGGAGCTGCCAGGTCCCAGGGAGAAGAGCACAACTGTGCCTTCTGAGCTTGCCCATGAGGACATAAAACCAGGTGAGAGCCCACTTAAGGACTCCTGTCACCCTAAGCCCCTCATGGCACCTGGGAGCTATCAGGAGAGAAACAAGCTCCCTACACTCATTGTCTGCAGGTCCCTCTGTGTCCAAGAAGCCTGAGAAGACCCAGAGTAAGATCTCATCCTTCTTTAGACAGAGGCCAGAGCAGAGTGTAATGTCTGATGATACCACCCCAGAGCCCACGAAGCCTGAATGGAGTAAGCAATAGGGGCTACAGGGACTGTTGGTTATGGCTGGGAGCTGAATTGTGTGCGCTCACGTAGACCTCCTGCAGCTGCATTTGTGTGCCCGGCCTGTGCAACTGAAGACACGGTGCTTTTCCAGTGCTGCTCCTGTGATTTCTACCGCTGCCGGGCCTGCTGGCAACTGCAACTCCAGGTTGGGGTCTGACTCTCTCTGTCCCTAGGTGGTGGGCTAAGGGGCCAGGTCTAGGGTATGCATTTAGCCATGCTACAGTGCCTAGCAGGTATCTCCACAGGCCTCTAGAATGTGTCCAGCTTGCGGTGCTGTTAATAGGAAGCAGAGCATTGCACAGGTCTTCTGGCCAAAGCCACAGTGAACACAAATGGAGACTCTTGGAAGCCCTGATATGGCTAGACACTGGTTGATCCACTGCAAGTCTCATACTTAGCCATCTAATTGGCTCTGAACCTACCTCTGAGAAAGTCTGGAACTTCAGGGCATGAAGGGGTGTGTCTATTAGATGCCTCCTTGCCAGAGCTTTTATGCGTGCCTATATTGGCAATGTGCCTATATTATTAAAGGTTCAGGCTGTTCAATAAAACCAACAATTGTCAGGATGGTGTTTGTGTCTTGGGCTTGGACAATTTAAATGTCATGGAGGTGCTAGGTACAGTTGTACAAACCTTTAATCCCTATAGAAGCAGGCTGATAGCTCCTTGTTTCAGGACAGCTAAAGTACTACACAGACTAACCCTGTCTCAAAGTGTGGAAGAATCAAGGTCTGGGAAGATCCCTTGTAGAGCTGTAGTGTTCTCCATGTCCAGCCACCTCCCAATCGATAGCCACGCCTCACAGATTTCCACCAGCCGTGCCTCAAAGCCCTTCTGGGTGGTTCCAGGTCTCATCTACATGAAATTGTTCAACCTAACCACACTGCAAGCTGTCTAGCGCTGGCATGATTGGTCCTGGTGGATGCCTGGCAAGGAGCAAGGCTACAGGAGTTTAGAACTTAAGCTGCAAGAGGAAGATAGACCCCAGATATTCCCTGATCCTGCCCTTTCTTTCCACTTCATCAGGCACATAACAGCAAGAATGCTCAGTGGGGCCTGTGTCTTACAGGCACCTCACTCAGCCAGCTGTTCAAGTTCAGAGCAGTGCCATCCTCACCATATCTGCTCTGCCCTGAGTTTGCCTTTCAACTTTACCCAGTTCCTCCCCTTGGAACCAGAACCTGGTAAGCCAGAAGTTTTGGGGCACTTTGTTTGGAAATTTGTGGCTTTGTGGACAGGGTCAGAGCCCTGAGAAGGCAACTCCTGTATATCAGCCCAAGGTGATGGTGCTTTTTTGATAATGAAAAACAGGTCAACCAGACTTGAAGTTTTTGAGAGAATCCTTACAGGAAATGGCAGATCTTAGTTCCACCTATATTATCTCCCCACCTTTTCCAACATAGGGCTCAGGGGATTTTTTTTTACTTGGTAGTCTAGCCTGAAACTCCTATTTGAATAGTTGCTCTGCCCCTTGTTCTCATGGGTATTCTGTTCCTACTTTTTCTATTACCTACTTTCATGCCTTGTTTAGGAATTTCTCTTTAGTTCTCGGAATATGAATGCAGCTTCATGGACTTTTTGACTTTCTAGGACATTTCCTTTAAAGAGTTGTGGTGGCTGCAGCTGGCCCTGGTAAACCAAGAAAACAGCTAACCACCACCACAGGAGGCCCTTGTGACCTTACAGCTGCAGCTTCAACAGTTCTCCAACTTCAGTGAATTTCAGGATTAGGCACTATTGCTACAACTGCTCCAGTTGTTGCACGAGGCTAGGCTGCTCTATCTGTAGAGGTGCTAATGCACAATTTCCTTATAACTGTGTTCTCTTCACTGTACACAGGACTTTATCCTACACTCACAACCAATGACACCCTAACCTTATACTTCTTCAGGTTTACTTTTTATAAAGCTATTCATTTCAGAAGATACAACTGTTCTCAAATTATGGCTGTCCACAAGCCAACAAGCTTCAGAATGACCACCTTCTATCTGCTCCCTGTTTACCATAGGTGTCCCAAAGGTCACCCCATGAAGCCTCTAGCTTTACTTTGTTGAATTGAAGAAAGCTAGCAAGAAAGACTCAGGATGTCTTGATGTCCCATGCTACACTTCTGCTTGGTTTGCTCATGAGTAACCCATTTTCTAATTCCCAGGAGGATCCTCTAAGAAGTACTCAACCCAGCTCATAGGGCACCTATGGGATGGGGCCTCTCCTTGATTCAGAGCACTCACACCCCCGTTCCTAATTTGTAGCTTCTCAGTCACCCCTCCCAGATGACCTGACCTTGGATAAGGAGTTGATAGGTCTTGAACCTGTGGCTCAGCAATAGCTCCAAACCTCCTTGGGAGCTCTTGCTAAGCAGGCACTCCAGGATAACAGCTTCTGGCAGTAATCACCATACCAGACAGTGGGGGACCAGCGTTTGACTGCTCGAAGGGATGGTTGGACAGGTGTTACTTAGGCTGTCTTTATTTCATAACCTTATCCTAGCCACATGAGCAAGATTTAACCCAGTAGGGCTAGTGAGCATGGCTGCTGCCACCCAGGAACCCCACACCTCACACCCATCTGGAGATGCAAACCCAGCACTTAACTGACCTGGATCCTGTAGGGACCCAGTCCACCTATACTAGCTACAGCAACACCTAATGCCTGGTGAAAGCTGTACCCTAAGGATACCACACAACCTGAGTACGGGTGTACTGAAATGTACACTCAGCAAGATTTGTCCTCCAGCTTTCTCCTTTGGAGATAAAAGCAGGGTGAGAATGGGTTAGTGAGGGAAGTCAGACTTCCCCAGAAGGTCTACTGAACCCTGTCCTGAGAATATCAAAGCCTAGTGGAAAGTTGAGTGTGATGCCCCAATTCCCACAGGTACAGGGCAAGAGGCAAAGGGTTCCAAGTTAACTAGGTTACAGAGAAATCCTGTCTGGCACACACTCAACTCCAAACAAAGCTAGGGCCATGATGGTCTTTTTCCAAGTGAGAACAGCCCTGACCATTCTCACCTTCTCCATGGGCAAGCCGAACAAAGCAGGTGTCAAAGATAGGCCCCCATTTCAAGGAGGATGCCCTCAAATTCCACTTTGGAATGGACTAACAGACAAGCCTAGGAGTGGCCTCACTAGTTTGGGAGGGTCCCAGATCTGGGACGGGGGGGTAGGGCATATACAGCTGGATGGCCTGTATGCTCTACGTTTGTCTCTGGATACCTACACTTTTCCATACACAGAGACGTTGTCTTAAGAGAAAACAAAGCAAATAAAAGATTAACAGTCAGCTTAACCCCAGCAAATCAGTGGCACAGAGCCAGCAGGGAGCGCTCTTCCAACACCAGGGGATGAACAGTTCCAAGACTGCAAAGTTGGTGCTTATGTGATGTCCCTCTGCCGTGGTGGCCGGTGAACATTCCGCACGACACACTTCACCATCCATTCGATGCCCTCTCGAACTCCTTTGCTGTGGAGACAGTATTTATGAAGCAGGGCTAGCCTTGGCCCTGAGAACTCTGCAGAATGAGACCTCAACTCACCCTGTGAGAGCAGAGCAGGCCTGGGTCAGACAGTCTCGCCGGCCAATCTTGCAGGTACAGTCACTGAATGCAGTCTTGATGTCAGGAATGGAGAGGCAGGTCTGACAGGGGAGGTGAGACTCTGAGGAACACTTCCACCACCTAGTTCCATCTAGCTTGCTTTGCTTGTTCACTTGGACTTTCAGGAAGGCCACAGTCTTACCCAAAAAAATAAGTAGGGGTGAGCCTGCCCAGAGCTCGAGTGTCCCCCAAAAACCAGTGGTGAGACTGCTGAACCGGGTCCAAGTCTACTGCTGATGCCTTTGCCCAGGGCTTTGGGTTAGTCTACAGACAGCTCTCAAGAGAACATTCCCCCACCACCCGCAAGAACAGCCCCCAGAGTATCTACCAGCAGAGCACTGTGAACTATGTCAGGAGTTAAGTGCCAAGTGAGGAAGGGCCCATGGCCCTGGAGTTGAGAAGCCTTGGTAGTTCAGTGGCTTCTCTGTTCCCCTTTTCATCTAAGGGAATGCCCTGTGTTCCTTAGCCAAGTACTAGAGACCTCTATTACTAGTTTGGGGATGCAGATGAGATGGTGAGGGAAGTCCTCAGAAAAATGAGTGGTTGTAACAGGGCTTCAGAAAAGTAAAGCTTCCTTGGCTCTCCAGATACCGGCTGCTACCATGTCCTCTAGCTGTTTCTGTACAGAACCCCTTTTGTCAGATGGTAGGGACTTTGTGTGGCTAGAAGTGGAAAGGAAAGCAGCACTTCATCTCAAGAGGATGCCTACTGTCATCCCAGTTCCACCACCACTTTAAAAACTAAAGATTTGGGTTTTATTATATATATATATATATATATATGTATGTATGTATGTATGTATGTATGTATGTATATATGTATATGTATGTGTCAGGGTATGTACACATGAGTACAGGTGTCTACTAAGGCTAGGTGTCAGATGCCCTGGAGCTATAGTCCCAGATGGCTGTGAGCCTCCTGACAAGGGTACTGGGAATCAAACTCTGGCCTTTTGGAAGGGCAGTGCATGCTCTCAAATCACTGAGCCACCTCTGAGACCGAACCCCCACTTCTTTGAACTCAGAACTTTCCCCTTGGTGTTGCTTTAGGCCCCATAGTCCCAGAACCCATGGGGGCATCCAGACATGAGCCCCTGGTCCTCCCTTAAGAAAGAAGATGGCATTTGCATTCTGTCTTCTAGTAGGAACATGTCTGTTCTAATGGTGGCAGCTCCAGACCCCCAGAGAGGAACTGAAGTTGGCAAGGTAGTGTGAAGGAAGGGTCCCAAGAAGGGCAGAGAGGCACTTGGGATGGGTGGTATAGACACTAGGTTTTGGAATCTCTGCAATGGCGACAGAGGCCCTACAGCAGCTTTGTGGGGCTCACCTCCACATCCTGCTTGTTGGCCAACACCAGGATGGGGACACCGTCCAGTGCTTCACTCGAAACCACCTTCTCTGAGGAAAGCAGGAGAGGTGGTGCCTTGCACCATGTCCTGCTCATGACTGCAGGCTCTGCCCAGACCCAAAGGTGTGTACAGACAGCTCCCTTCCACCCTTCACTTCACATACTAGACACCCAAGCAACATGACTGAGGCTTTCTTGGTACTGGCATCTAGGTGTAAGCCCAGCCTCCCTCAAGGCAAGTTCCAGACAAGTGAAAGGGTCCAGATTAGACCAGTACACCACCCCCTGGCATGCCCCTCCCCACGTAATTCCCTAGATGTAGGTCTTCCCGTCTTCTCTCCCTCCTGGAGTGGCCACGCTACACTCACCAAATGCCTCTTTGGATTCTGACAGTCTCTCCTCATCAGTGGAGTCAATGACATAGATGACGCCATGGCACTCTGCATAGTACTAGAAGGAAGAGGAGGAAGTTGGGGCTCGAGTACTCATAGTTGGGTCAGCTAGAAAGCGAGACCCTGTGTCACAACTACCAGAAGATACCCGTAAGAGGAAGGCAGGCAGTAAGTGGTAGGAACTTTGCTACCCCAGGGCCACAATGAAGAAATGGGCACAACCCAGTGGGAAGACCTGCTAGAAAGCTTTCTGGGACTGTTTGGTGGTAAAGATCCATAGCACCTTTGAGGAAGGTTTTCCAACCCTAGCAGGGTGATCACTCTCCTCCTGCTCAGGGACTGCTCCTGAGAATTCACCTGCTGCTCTGGCTAGATGATATTGAGAAAAAGGTGAGAGACTAGAGGCTGAGAAACCAAAAGAGGTTCATGGCTGAGGTCAGCACTGCCTATGAAGTTATCCTGCCTGAACAAAAATGACAGTACTGAACTCAGGCTTCTGCAGGCTGAATGTAGCCAGACCTGGGCTTTCAACAGCAAGGGTAAGGAATGGACAGCACTGCTGAGGCAAAACAGATAGGGCAAGATAAGCATAGGAGATGGAGATCCACACAGTAATAAAGATGTTGTACGAGCTCCCATCCCAATCAGAAAAATAATGCCTGTCAATGAAGGAAAAATAGTAAATAGTACATTGGGACCATGCTGGCCCTCCTGTCACAGTAAGAAAGAAGTCAACACTGACTGGTTAAATAATGTGCTGCAGACAGGGTGGGTTGCATACCACTGAGGTTGTTGACAAGTAAGAAAGGAACACTCCACTCAGGCAGTAAAACTCCTCCCCACCTGCACTTCCCATAGAGGACAGTCCCAGGTCCCTTTTGCAGGTCTTTGCAGCCAGACTCACCTAAGACAGCTCCAGCCTTGCAATGGGCCTGGCACAGAAGTTGCCAGTTCTGGGAGTAAGGCAGTGGGTTAGCCTATTGCTAGAGGCCTGAGAGCTGGCAGATCCTACTGTAGAGGTAATATTGGATGATACAAGGTTTGCAACGAGTCCAGTGAGTCAGCAGGCAGCACTAGCAGTTCCGAAGGTTGTTAGAAATGTCTTGTGATTAAGCACAAGACTTAGGAACCAAGATGGGGTGGGATACTAAACCTCAATGGAGAAGACACCTGTAGCTATGAGTGTGCGATGCAGGGAGGTGCAAAAGAGATCTGCATCATCAGCATAAGGAAACATTCTCAGCTGGACATATTGGTACAGACCAGAGGCAGATAGCCCACCTGATTCTGCTTGTGTGAGAAGTTATGATCTAAGCATGGCATGTGCACAGATCTATGGACAGCAATATTGCTTGGTTAACAGAGGCAGACGTAAGCAGCAGACATGGTAACCTGGTTTCCATCTCAAGGTTCACCAGAGCACACTCTTGAGAGCAACCTGCCCAACAGTGACACTGTACTAGGCTGAAGAGAGCAGTGAGCAGAGTGGCAGACCACAAACGTATCAGTGTAGGTTCCGTTCACCAAGGCCAATGGAGTCCCCCACTAGGCCGTTCATTTTATAGAGAGAGCAGCATGGCTAAGCCCTATGAGGTGTCATCTCTTAAGGAAATCAGAGGGAATTTGAATATAAACATGTCTCCTTAGCAACAACATAAACTCCCTGGGCACATGACACCAGACCACAGTCTATGTTAAGTGATGTCAGCAGAGGAGACTCAAGTCACAACAAACAGCCTGTGGCCATAACTGGACAGCACTGGGCCACACTACCCATGTGGTAGCACTATTGTAGGATACCAACCCTCACAATGAAAGATCTTTCTGAGGTTCTGCATTTTGGCCAGGGCACGGTTCTGGGAACCAAGGCCCCTCTTCCTGACCCTCCTAGTAATCTAGAAGCAACTTTACTACTCTTCTTCACCACCTTGAGTACTGGAGGGATTGGGGGTTAAGGGAGTATAGGTCCTACCCACCAAAGTAATAAACCCAGCAGAGCCACTGAGTCACCAAACATGGCTACCTTGGGCACAGTGGACTCCTTTTGCTCAAAGATAACTGTCCCTGATTGGCAGGAGACAGGATGATTCAGCCAGCAACCAGGAAGTCACATCATGGCCAAGATGACTACAACTCTTCAACCAGTTGACAAGGCTGCTGTCTATGCTCCTCTTAGAAGGGGCTACTCCTCAATGTGGGGTACATATCCAAGCAGTGCTCTTCATCCCAAAGAGCAGTGACTTGTGACTCAAAAGATAACAGGCTTGGGGTCCTGGCCACCACTGCTAAGCTCCCTGTCTGCACCCTCCTGGTAATGACCCAATACACATACTCTGCTGACAAGACAGTCATTAATTGGTGTGAGTCCCCATCTGTGTCTGATGTTTGGAGATGCCAATGTACATTACTGCCCCATGAATAGGCCTGTCCTCTGTCCAAAGTGGTAGCCACAGAGACCTTCTGATTATAGGATAGATGCTATGCTCTTGCTAAGTTATAGCAGAAGAAACATCTTAGGGGAGCCCAGGAAAGAAATTGGTCCTCAGTTGTAATACATGCCTGCTGGGAAGCATCGCAGTAGCTAAAGAATCTATACTACAGCACTGCATTGCATCAAATGACCATGCCAACCCACAGAACAGGAGACTACCGAAGAAAAGTCAGGGCTTGTCCTGCTCAGTGCTAGACCTAGTAGTACATGACATAGGCTAGGTGGAGGAAACTCCAGTGTAGGAATGTATACAGAGAGAAGTCTCAGAAATGTCTAAAACCAATGCCCAGAGAAGAGGCAAGTGATTTCTGCCTGAGACCATCCTCCTCAGATGTGGAAGAGGCCACCTGGAAGAACCATGACAAGCTAGAATGAGGTAGACAGACTCACCAGGAAACAAAGGCTTTGTGCACTCCCTATGTGTGGTCTCTGCCATCTCCACCTGCCTGTAAGAGGACAGGTTTACAGTCCTCTGACAACTCCCCAGTCAGTGCTTTGCACTGACTACCCTGGCGAACAACGCTGCTTTCTCTGCGATTGACACTGGTCTTGTTGGGAAAAGGTTAGGTACTTCCAGTGTGAACCTCTCCGGTGCCACTTGCCTGGTGGTGATTCTAGCCCTGGGCTTTGCCAGAGTGAGACAGAAAGCAACCTGGAACCCTGGGGGTAGGACTGAAGAGAAAACCTTTAGACAGGGCCAATGAGATGATTCAACAGGTAAAGATGCTTGCTATGCAAGCCCGACAATCTGAGCTTGATCCCTGGAGCCCATCCCATGCAAAGGTGAGAAATCCAATTCTACAAAGCATGCTGTAACATGCCTCCCCTCCCCCCAATAAAGTCATTTTAAAAAGGAGAGAAAATCTTCAGGGTGACAGGAACTCTCATGGAAGAAGAAGTTAAGAGGAGCTATCTAGAGAAATGCAGCACGGAGCAGACAGCGTGTCTTACCTTGTCCCACAAGGACTGTAGTTCTTCTTGTCCACCTAAGTCCCAGAACATGAGGCGAGCCTTCCCCACATCCACAGTGCCAACTGGGGAGAGGACAGAATGAACTAACTCCTGACTCTTTACAAAGTCCCAGCTCTTCCCGGGGATGAGGAGAACCATTCTGGTACCAATCCCAGCTGGCATGGACTGAGAGGGATCTGGCCACTGGCCCACGCTGGGCTGTGGTGCTTACATCTCTAAGGGACCCAAGCCCATATCCCCCTTACTGTTTAGGCCCACGGTAGTGGTGATTTTGGACAGACTCATCCCCTTGTAGTTCTTGTTAAACCGTGTTTTTGATTGTTCCAAGAAGGTCTGAGGAAAGAAAGAGAGGTGGTTAGGTATCGGCAGCTAAAGTAATTTCCTGGTGTCTTCTTCTAAATATCCCTCCCCACAACCACATGCTTTGGGCAAATTCAGGCTTCCACGCCCATACACACGAACTTCTGCCTGTTGAACGCTCTTCGGGAGGCTGTTGGCAACTAACCTGTAGTCTTGGGTAGGGGGTTAGATTTCCAAACAAGACAAACGTAAGGCAGGGAACGGGAACTGGTGAGAGAACATGCGCCTACCGTCTTTCCGGCATTGTCCAGGCCCAGGATCAGGATGCAGTATTCATCCTTCTGGAACATGTACTTGTACAGCCCCGAAAGCAACGTGTACATCCTGCCCCGGCACCCCGAGAAATGTCAAGGTGTGTACCGGGCGTATCGGCCTCCTGCCCGCTTCATCAGTGGTCCGTCTGTCCTGCTAGTTATCAAATGTGGAACCTCGTGGCTCGTGACTCACTTGCCCCCACCCCCTGCGCCCCCAGCTCCCGATTCCTGACCCTGCCTGCACCACCGCTAAACCTGGGTCAATCCCACTTCGGGTCATCTTTCTGAATGCACCACCAGTCCTGAAAGACCCGTGGAGGCCTACCCTGCTCCGCCCTCCTAAAAGGCTCCTTTTTCCGGACCCTCCACTCAGCACTAGGAACTTCGACCGTCGCAGGCTCCTAGGCCAGAGACCGTCTAGGCAGCTACCAGAGAGGCAGCGCTTCTGCCGTGGGTCAGCTTTGGATGTCTCTCCCCCTCCCCAACCCCGCTGCCGGGCCCACGGAGCCTAGGAACCAGCGGCCGAAGCCGCTTCCGTCGTCCCCCTAAGCCCAGGATTCTAGAACCCCCGGCCGCTCAATCCGGCCGAGACCCACCTGCACCTGCTCAGATCTCGGAGCCGCAGGCGCCACCGTCGCGTCGCAAACCCCCAACCGACCTCGCGTTGACCCCGCGCGGAGCCTGACGGGACACCGACCGGCCGTCCCGAGTCCGGGCGGAGCCGCATCCCGGCAGCCCCCGCGCGTCCCATCCAGGAGGCTCCCGAACGCAGGCACTTCCGGCAGCATCAGCTTTCGGGCGGAAGTGCCCGCGGCGGGCGGAAGGCTAGCTCCAGGGCTTTGCTGGCGCGGCCGGAAGCCCTTGTAGGCTGCGAGCACCGGCGGGAGGCGGGGCTGCGGACCTCAGAGGACGCCGGTGGGATACTTTGCAGTATCCCTTGGCAGCGCCGAGGTCCTCCTCAGCCTCTCGGGCGGCCGCGGGGCGGCGTTGTCCTGAGTCCCGCCGGCTGCTCTTCCCTCAGGTCTCGTCTGCCTTAGCGGTTCCGAAACTTGTCTGCGCGGTGTAGGCATGGACGAGGACAACCTGGAGACTGCCCTGCAGACCTACCGGGCCCAGCTCGGGCAGGTAGAGCTGGCCCTTGGTGCTGGCCTGGACGCTTCGGAGCTGGCGGACCTGCGCCAGCTGCAGGGCGATCTGAAGGAATTGATTGAGCTCACCGAGGCCAGCCTGTTGTCGGTCAGGAAGAGCAAGCTGCTGGCTACGGTGGACCAGGAGCACCAAGCAGAGGAGGATGCTGAGTACTTGGCTTTCCAGAAGGCTGTGGCGGAGGAAGGGGAGGCACCCGTCGCCCGCGGGGATGACTCGGAGACGGTCCCTGGGAGCGAGGTGCAGCCGGGACCCACCTCCCCTACACAGGAGGAAGACGAGGAGGATCCAGACCAGGAGGAGCTGAGCGGTACTAAAGTGAATGCCCCTTACCACAGCGCTTGGGGCACGCTAGAGTACCACAACGCAATGATTGTGGGCACTGAGGAGGCAGAGGATGGTTCGGCATGCGTTCGCGTGCTCTACCTGTACCCTACCCACAAGTCCCTGAAGCCCTGCCCGTTCTTCCTGGAGGGAAAATGCCGCTTCAAGGAGAACTGCAGGTAAAGCCCTCTGCTACTAGCAACGAGGGGCACTCCGGCAGGACCACTGCTGTGGCCTGCCGCCTTCACAACTTGTTGTCCATCCCGCAGAACTGATAAAAGAGAAGGGCGAGCTTCAGGTGGCTGACAAGCTTTATTTAACAGTCTCTCTCCCCTCCCATCCCTTCCTTTCCATCCTCCTCCTCCTCCTGCTCCTCCTCCTCCTCCTTCTTCTCTGTCTCTCTGCTTGTCTCTACCTCCCTCTCTCCCCCTCCCTCTCTCCCCCTCCCTCTCTCTCTCCCTTTTTGATACAGAGTTTCTCTGTGTAGTCCTGGAGTTTGCTCTGTAGACCAGTCTGGCCTCGAACTCTGAGATCTACCTGTCTCAGCCTCCCAAGTGCTTGGGATTAAAGGCGTGGGCCACCACTTCTAGCTAAGATTTACTTTTGCTTATGTGTATTTGTGTGGGTATGTGAACATGAATACAGGTGCCAGAAGAAGGTGTTGACCGTTCCAGAGCTGGAGGTCCTGGTGTTTATGAGTCACCCAACATAGATCCTTGAAAGCAAACTCAGGTCCTCTGCAAGAGCAGTATACTCCCAACCCCCAAGCCATTTCCCTAGCTCTGTGTATTTATTTTCTTTTTTAAGTGTGTGTGTGTGTGTGTGTGTGTGTGTGTGTGTGTGTGTGTGTGTGTGTGAATAGGCATGTGTACTTGAGTGCAGGTGCCTGAGGAGGCTAAAAGAAGGTGTTGGATCTCCTGACACATGAGTTGCTGCCGGCGGTGAACCATTTGGGTCTTCCTCAAAAACATCACGTACTCTTAACCACTGAGCCATCTCTCCAGCCTCCAGAGACCACCCGTATTCCTTGGTTTGTGGTTCCCTTGCATCACTTTAAGCTCTTACTTCCATGGTTACATCTATACTCTTGTGCGTTTTATTTCTTTATCTTTTCTTTAAGATGGGATCTCATGTAGCGTAAGCTGGCCTTGTACCCCGTGTATTGCCAAGGATGACTTTGAATTCTTGATCTTCCTGCCTTCACCTCTTGCTTATACCTCCCAAGGGCCAGGATTACAAGCATGTGCTACCCAGCTTGGCTCTGCACTCTTTTTTAGATCCTAGTAGACTTGACATGTCCCTTTGCTCTGTCTCCTTCCTTCTCATGCTGATAGGTGCATGAGGGATCAGTGTGCTCAACGGGTTTTCTCCAAGAACACACGTGTTGCTTTATTTGCCATAGCCTTTATGTAGGAAGCCCTGTGATGAGAGATTTAATACCTCTGAGTGCGTTCTCTGATTGGCATATGCTCACTGCTCTGTGCAGGAACCCTATAGGTAGGCCCTGCACTCACCCCCAATTTATATAATTTTTATGTGCACATGCATATGCCGCGGTGCTTATGTGTAGGTCCAAAGACAGCTTTTGAGTGTGGGTTCTCTGAAGAACCATGTGGGCCCTGGGGATTGAATTCAGGTCATCAGGTTTGGCAGTAAGCACCTTTACTTGTCAAACTGTCTTGTCAGCCCCCACCCCATTTTATAGATGGAGAGACAGACACCAAGGCAATAAGTAATTGGTACAGTGTTGCTTGGCCCTGAGACCACTTCATCTGGAGCTGCTTGTGGTATCAATTTTAGGGCAGAACTAAAAGACTGTAAAACATCTGGCACCGTCTTTACCACCATCCAGGACTAATGAGTTGTTTTCTTGAATTTGCTTTAGATTCTTAAAAATAAATTTTAAAAAAATGTTAAGTATCAGTCTATCCCTAACTCCACCTGTATTAGCATAACTTTGGTGTATGTGTTTCCAGTGTATAATCTTCTCTGTGGTGGGAATAGAATGCAGACCTTGGACCTACCCTGAAGGGGCACAGGTAGACTTGTTTACTGTGTGTTGTAAAATAAATTCCGATATAGGAACTTGAGTATAGAGAACTGTTATAAAGTGAACTGTAGCTGTCAAGCTCATATCACAGCTGCCATTTGCCAGCCACCCCAGATTCCCTAACAAGCATCAGATTCGATCTCTCTCCAATAGACAAAACAACTTTTTTGGGGGGGGGCAGGATGAGGGGGTTGTTGGTGTGTGGTTTTTTTGTTATTTGTTTTTTGAGCCAGGGTTTCTCTGTAGCCCTAGATGTCCAGGAACTCACTTTGTAGACCTAGCCTCAACTCAGAGATCCATCTGTTCTGTCTCCCGAGTGCTGGGATTCAAAACTTTTTATAACAAGTGCTTCTTGTGTTTTTGTAGCATATATCTCAGGTGTCACTGTGATGTAGACATCATAGTTCAATACTGTCCATTTTCTAAACCTGATTGTAGCTGAATCTAGCCATTTATGCACTTCTCCAGGTCTTTCTGCCCTAACTCTTTTCTTATTGGAGAATCAGCCACCTTGACTCATCAGTCAGCATATATGCTAAAGGACCACATTTGTTGCTGTGGTTCCAGTGGATTAGCAACCAGATCACATCACCTACTCAAACTGTTCCAACCCCATCAGTACAAGTAGGAGCAATTAATTTACCAGAAGGCATGTTGTGTTAGGCTAAGGCTCTATCATTCTATTTTATCAATAAAGACTTGAGAGGCAGAGAAAGCACCCAGCTGCTTCCTCCTCTGTTGTCATTCCAGAAAGAGAGCTTTTCATACCTCATTTTCAAAAAACTCTTCCAACTGGATCACCCTCCCTTTCTACTTCCTGTGCATTCCCCTCTCCCACCTCCTGACTTACCCTCCACTCCCTGTGGCTACTTCTTATCAACTGGTTGATGCGCTACCTCTTGACCTATGGAATGTTGCTTTTATTCTATCCTATTTATAATAAGCAGAAAGCTCCTGGATTAAAGGTATGTACTAAGGCTGAGCCACTTCACAGCTAGAAGCAGGTTACTTCAGTAAACGGTGAAATCTCAGGGTTCAATGTGATCAAATCCCACAACATTTCCTCCTTTTGTCTAAATAAAAAAGAAAGGTTTTAACACAGTAAAACTGTTTACACTCTTTCTGCTGTTTCTCTGAGGAGGCAGCTGTCTGCCTCTTTCTTGCTTGTCTCTCTTCCCTTCCCTTACTCCCTTACCTTCCCCCAATTAAACTTTCCACATAAGTTTTAAAAAAATGTTTACAGTAATGAAGCTATTTCTGCTGAGCTTTCCACAATGTCTAGCTTCACTGTATTTGGCAGTCTTAGGATTTTGAATTTCCTGAGCAGTTTTTAGTCTGAAGCTGATCTTTGTATGGTGTTTGTCAGCTTAGTGGTGTTACGACAGTCCAGGTGGATTCACCGTTGCAGGGTCCCACTATCTTCTTGGGGAACCTCGAAGGTGTCCATTGTTTGCGTAGAGCCTGGTGGCAGAAGAGGCTGGAGGTGGATGATGGCACTTAGCCTGTTGTGGTCTGAGGCTCCAAATCATCCCAAGCAGACACAAGAAGTTACAGCTAGGCAAGATTTAATGCAGTGCTGCAGAAAAGAAGAGGGGAAGGGGAGGGGGCTGATCAATCAGGGCTACAGAACAGACTTGGGAGTTTTACATGCTAATGAAAAAGGAACAACAGATGTGGAGAGATACTAGATAGCAGAAAAAAACTGCAGAATTATATCAATCTGATATTTTAAAGATATACGTACATCCATACCAATGTAAAATGTTTGAGAGTAACAGTTGTTTAAAAGTAGATTTAACAATCTACCCTTTTATTCCATCATTTCTATACTATATCTCTCTTTTTCCCTTCAGAAAAAGATTCCTGAATCTAATCTCCTTTATTCAGCTTTCTCCCTGATCATGACCAGTAACAGTTTATAACCAATCCCCCTAAGTGATGATGACAAACATCCATAACTCACTGATCTCTGCTGGGATTAAAGTCATGGGCTATCACCAACCTG